TGCGAGGTCGCTAACTCTTGACGTTTGGGATCAAATCGGAGCGAAAAGGGATTAAAAAAAAAAGGAGAAGAAAAAGCCAAGCCTACCTAAAGGCGGCAGGCTAGGAGTCCCATGTGGATTCAGAGGATATCGATATATGGGATAGAACGAAAAACAAGGATGAAGAATCGGGATGGTGTTGGGAGTGGGTTCGGCAGAGACCGGAGCCCGCTCCGCTTAGAGCCTTTAAGCGGGGTGTAGCCAAGTTGAATCGGGGACATGTCCTGCTGCGAGGGCGAAGTACGGATGTCTGCTTCTTCGTTAACAGCAACGAAAGTGAGTAAACTTATTACTTATCCACACGTTAGGAGCGAGATGGCCGGCTGTCGACTTGTCCCGGAGGTGACCTGCACATGATGTTTGGGATGCGTATGTGAACTGCGGGATGTCAGGTCAGGTGGCAACTGACAGCTAAAGTGCATAAAGAGGGGGAGAAGACAATCCATGCGGGCGTTCGAGGTGTACATACGTTGTATGCCAGGCCTGGAGGAAGACTCATAATTCGTCATACTCACTTGTAGTTGTACCCGGAGAAAACATGTGGCCTTCACTCAATGGCGCCGAAAACATAGCGGGATGCACTGCTTGCGGGTACGAGGTAAGGGGTCGTTAGGTAGGCAAGCCGCGCTAAGCAGTTTGGGGCCAAGCCACAAGACAGGACTCTTCCTTAGTAGATACAGCGGAGGAAAAAAAAGGGAGGAAATAGAGGACACTAATAAGAGACGGGAAGAGAGATGGACGAATGCACAGCAGCACAAGGTCAGAGGTCAGACCGCTAGGCGGAGGATTTTAGTAGAGTCGGACTGGCTTTATTAGTGATTGTATAGGCTAGTGAGAAATCGTCGGATTATTCTATGACTGCCAGGACAGACTCGGTTAGGTCGCCTGTTATCTCTTATAATATTCCTTTATAATCCTAGTATTCTCTAAACCCTAATACCCACGGAGAAAAAGGGGGAAAAAAGGCAGTAAAAGCACGAAATATATTTTGCGTTTATTCTGCCTCGACTCGACCCCTTCCCGCTATCATTATCGTCGGCATTTTGCTAGAGGGCTTAGAACCATACAACGTAAGTATGTGGTTGGTGGTGTTCTTGGTACATGTACACAAGGCATTCACACTCGCAGTCCGCTGGCCGTAGCGGGGTGGGAATTCTCGGTCTTCCATGCCTGTTCTAAACAAGGACCGGGTCTATTAGGGATCCGTTTCCGTTGGGCGGGTAAGACAAACGCCGGGGGCCTACCCTGGAATACCCTTCAAGACTGCCTATGGTATCTATGTACACGTGTACAGGGAAATCATCTCTGTGTGCCCGGTGGATGATCTGTCATTTGTGGATCAATTATGGGATATAGCTGTAAGAGTATAGGAAGTATCGAACGAACACAGTGAATGTATATAGACAAAGAAACCGAAAAATTCCTATCGCCTGTGCCAAGATACTTCATACATCTGGAGTACTTCCTCTGCCTTGGTTTGTCCTGCAAGAGTTTCTCCATTTCTCCCTTGTGGGGGATGTACTAATATCACACGGCTTCATTCACGAACCAAGGATTCCTGTACTAGTACTTCTTAGCCTGCGTCTTTGGTACACGTGTACTTCGTAAGCCCGACCCCTGTATTTTTTTTTTCTCTTTGTTTTTCCTTTCCCTTTTCCACTTTATATCTAAGGTACCTTAGGTAAGGTACCTTATGCAAGTCAACGAAGCGACCTCCGCGAGCTTATAACTGGGTGCTTCCCCGAGGTCACCGCACATCATCAAATATAGGTACCTTATTATAGCCAAGATAAGCCGGGTCAGTATGGATTTTTAGTCGCATCGATGATCCCTTACTAAGGTAGGCAGTTATACTCTGAATCCGGACGCATTGCATTGTACGTGTAGAAGGGTTGCCAGCCAGAAACGCATGCAGGTCAATGCCTGGAGCCCTTGCTGATACGGCGATACCCAACTGCCACTGGTTCCAACTTCCCAATCTCCACGCCCTGGTTCCTCATTGTCCTCCACCACGGCACATGGCGATAAGCCACGGGGGGCCATGCTGCATTGACCCATTGCCATATACAGTCTTCCATATACCATCCAAGCCGTGAAACGTACAGCATGCTCTCGTCGGTCGTGGGGCCCATCAAGTTACCGCTGGCGATCCGGAGATGGCCGCTGAATACAACAACAGCCTTCCGCCTTACAACCTACCTTACAATCAGGTCGATCGGTTATGAATAACATTTGATCTGTCAACAGCTCTATCTCTATGTATCTCTTTCTCGCTCTCTCTTTCCTCTCTTGCGTTCCGCCTCTGGGCGCGAAGCACAATACCTACCTGTAGGTCGGTTAGAAACACGGCCCGCGTGCCGACGCCTTGGAATGCGGTCTGTGTCTTGCAGCGGACGGCCTAGCATCAGCCATGATGATCATCTGCTGTGGAGACCGATTTTCTTCCGCCCTGTTTTGACGCTGGCTATCAGGCTATCGCGTGCAAAAAGATCCGCTACAAACACTTGTTCCTGGCCTTGGCCCAGCAAGCTCAGACCAGACGACCCCTAATCGGGACAGCGCTTGGGCCACGTACAAAGTGGTATATGTAGGTACATAAGTCCAGCAGGACAAGGTCTGGGCTGCGGAGATACTCGTAAATACCTAAGGTAGGTAGGTACACACTAACGTAAACCCCTGGCATTACATACCGCTTTGAGCGTCCCGTGCCGCTGACCGGTTCGACACCGACAGGGAACATATCGCGTGTCAACAGTCGGAACCCTTCCCCTTCTCACCCTGACCCCACAAACATGCAAGAGAAATATGATAGTTGATAGACTTTCAAGCCCGTGGGGGGACGCGTGTAGGGGTCTTTCCTCTCCTTCTTGCTCGCCGGGACAGGGGGGAGGGGCAGCTCCGGCAGGCTATACCCATTGATCCTGATGATGATCAATTTCCTTTTCCGTCCCGGCGGCAAGCTCAGGGCAGTGAGAAAACATCAGGTCCCCCTACTCGTGTAAATATTGCCACAGCACAAGTGACTTTCCTTCCAAGTGAAATCGCCAGGCCTTGTTGTGGCAGCCGTATGCCTCGTTGATTACATCCTTGCATTGGCCGATGAGCATCGGCTAGTGACTACCAGGTACGGATACACGATACCTGCCCTACCTTATCTTGTATTACCTTATGCGGCAATATCAGATTCGGCGTTAAAAGAAAGAATTGGAGAGTAATTATTAGACCGCCGAAAAGGAGTACGGATATCAAAGAGTTCGCTTTTCCCCAAGAGAAAAGCCCCAATCGGGTTTATCCCCGGGCACTAGACCGACCCAAATTCCCTTCGCGTAACCCCGCGGACCTTTCCCGAGCACAACTGCCAATAAGAACCGTAATCCCTTCCATTTTCCCCTTGGGAGATGCAAAAAACCACCGGAAGCGATTCCCCGTTACCAACAGGCAGCAAAACCCACTCGCCAACTTTCCGTTAAGCTCTGCGAGGAAATCTGAACAGATGGGGCGTTCTGAGAATCAGAGTCGTCATGAGAGATGCCCCTCGAGGACTCGGGGAAGGAGAGCAAGCCTTTCATTTTGGCACACGGTGCAACGATGACTGGCCAGTCTGCAGAAACCGCCATTATGTTTCTCTATTGTCTGGTGGTTCATGACCAATCGTTGGTGTTACATTATGTTCCAGCGGCAGGACCTAACATATCTATGGTTTAAGCCCCCAAAACTAACCGCTACTTCACAGCGGACCAAACAAGGATAAGCCAAGAGGCAATTACGTATGCATAGAGTTTCGGCGTCGGCCCTGGTTCCGGACAAACTCTCTGTGTTGGAGGGTTTTCTGGGGCTGAGCCCCTCCTACCACTAGTCCGACGGCCAGCTCCAGATGCTGCGCCCCCTTCAATCAGATGATACCCCAGAGAAAGGGTAAAAGGCCAGTGAAAATTGCCATGAAAACGCGGTGCCGCAGACCGGCCAGCGGCACCAAGCCAGGGGCACGGGAGACAACCTTCAGGCACGTCATTTGGGCCCTAGGACGTGCTTCATCGTGGTCGGACAAGAGGTAGGGGTTGTTCGTGCCGTTGGCCAGGTGGGAAGGAATCCTCGGATAAAACACGGTCAAGATGGGAGTCATTCTGTAGAAAGGGTTCCCTCCTTTTTGATTCGCTCGGACCTATTGCGAAGGGGGCGTATTCATAATCAGCCAACGTTCATTGCACTGCAGAACTCTTGGGGGAGAGTAAGCAGTTCATGGGGAATGCGAAGAGGGGAGAATCTCACCATTCCCGAGAATTGCTTGACTGGAGTAATAGCAAGCGACTTGGGCTCAACTGGCCAACATTCCGGTTCTTCGGGATCCAGGACGAGGGGGTTGTTGGCTGTGGAACCGGAGAGGGCTGGTTTTTCACGTCAGTTAGCGAGTCTCATCCTGTTCAAAGCAAGAGATCACTCGAATAAAACGAGCACAGCTTTATTATATTCCGGGAACACCAGCGACACCTTACCTCTTTCATTGATCTCGTTCCAGATTCTCTTATTGGTGCGATCCTCGGGACTCCAACTGCAGCTTGATTTGGCAGGGTTCATGGAGGAGATCGCATTGGAAAGCGCTGGACAGGCCTCTTCGGGGGGGAGATCTCCAAAGTCGAACCTCTCGGCAACAAAGATTAGCTCCTCGACGCAGTTGAAGCCCAGAGCTTCCTCGCAAGTTCCCATGTCCCTGTCCCAAGGCACATCCTGATGGCCAAAGCGGAATCCCGGCGAACGGTTGCGGAGGAACACAGCGCAGCCTTCGAAGCCGTTGTAATCACGACCAAACTTGTAGCCATGAGGCGACGTAAGCGAGAATGTTTCAAAAAGATATCTTGGTATTGGATCGCTATCCCTCCAGTTGGTCTGGACCCAGGCAAGACTGAGGTTCTGAAGAGCTGGGGGTAGGTGAGGAGTTGAAATTCTGGAGAAGCCGACGGCCTTGTTCGGTAGCCCGTTGAGGGGGCAGACGTAATTGTCGTTTTCATCGCGAGGGCATCCCACGTCTGCACAACTGCCGATGGTTCCAGGTGTGTCGAAGTTGATAGTTCTGTTTCTGGCCAAGGCAAGATAGGCAGTGGCGATGCCCGCAAGAATGGAGTAGCGTAGATGCATGGTAAAACGGGGGGTAGTACGCGAATCGAGATAGGGGGAGTAAAGCTGAGGAGGTATGATAAGGGGCTAACACGACTTTAACAGTGCCTGACTGAAGAAAACGTGATAGCAATGGTGTCTGTGAAGATGGACAGTGATGAAGACGGGATCCAAAAGTTGTTGACTTGATACATTTTGGAGAGATGGAAAGGTAAACAGGACGAATCGTTGGCGTATATGAGGAACTTACTATTCCACGTTGAAGACCATTGTACTGTCCCTACACTGGGAATGGCTCTATCGTCATGGAAAGTGCCTGCCCGGTTGGTAAATTCACTGGAGATAGGTCAGGCAGCATCCACTGTCCAGATCGAACCTGCTTCACAGAAATGTAAAATACATTGTCAGCATCCCCAATCCACAGCTTCTACCACAGGTGACAGTATCAGGCGACATCGAAATTCTTCCTGGTTTTTCAAGGCCCGCATCATCTCCCCCCCCCCCCCGGGCGGGGCTTTTTCTTGAAGGGGGGTTTTTTTTTTGGTTACCCATACTATGTACAAGCTTACAAAGCTCTTGCAAGTGGCTCATTAACGACATTATTCCTCAGTATCTTAGATTTCAGACCATTGTGACGCAGTCAGGAGGGACCTGAGTCACCGGACAGATACTCTCGGAATAGAACAAATGGATCGACGGCCAGGAATGGAAAAGACCACCGAACACCGAAGCTTAACCCATCATTTGGGTTTCACCTCACGAAAGACCATCACAAACTGAAACTTTACAATCTACGTAGGCCAATTACTACTACGTGCCAAATGCGTAAAACAAGAAGGCTCAGAGTCCAAACCTCCTACAAACCACACTCACGAATCACGATGCATTCAATTTCACGGGTAAAGCGTAAATCCGGAGACAAGACTCTGGGTGGCGAAAGATGGCAAACTATAGAAGTACTGTTCTGTACACAAAATACTGTACCTACTTGTGCCTTTGGACATTCTTAGAACTTTAATCAGTCGTCGACGAGGTGGCGTCGGAGTTTGGGTCTAAAAATATGGATCGCAATCTCGGAGCCGAAGCTAAACATAATAAACCCAGTGAGTGTCCTCGGATTGTCGGTACGGCTAACTGAAGGATAATGGCTTGGCGCCTACCCTTTTGGGAATGTCAGAGGATTCTGATTGGCTTTCAAACTCGCGTCTCCATACAGTGCGTCAGTGCCAAACGCCCCTTTATTCGTCCCAGTCCACCACGACGATAGCGTGTCCACGATTCCACGAACACGAGAGTGCTGGCGGCGATAATGATGACATTAACGTTCAGCCTCTCGTCCTCTAAATACGTAGGTATGAAACGGAGAAAGTCTTTACCAAAGTTAATAGTGCCACGACGGCTCCCCAGTTCACCAGTGATCTAAGGTACACCTGAGCCTCGCTGATAAGCGAGGTCTACATAAAAGGCATACTACGATGGCCTCAGAACAACGAGAGAGCGGCGTCTACTTAACGAAGACTTGATTATATTCAAGCCATAACTTTATCGGCATAGACGAGAAAAGCTTGCCATTACACAAAAGTTTTAAAAAAAAAGCTGAATGTCAAGCCACGTGCAGTGTGACAGTGTCATATCACGATATGGAGTTTAACCTTCATAAGCCATGGCTTGAATAAGGTTAAATCCTGTTGGGCTTTAGATATTGTTACTGAATGGGAGGAGGATTCATCACGATTCACGAGCTCCGAGAGAGGTACGGTCAAGGCAGTACTGCAGTCTAGCAGTCTATAAATAAAGGGCCTTATTCTCAGTCCAGGAACTGGACTCTTTCTCATTTTCCCCTTCATCGCTGCCTCGCTCATCTACCTGACCGCTTCCCGACATTTCACTTTGAAAACACACACTCCCAAGTCAGCACCCACACGCAAGAAGAATCGATCCTCTGCTCTTGCCCCCTTCTCACCGGTCTATACCTGCACTCCATTCATTCTTTCCGCAAAAGGAGAAAAAAAAAATCACCCTCTCCCGGAAGTCATGAATCACAATGGCTTTCAGCTCCACCAACACCGTCTCCTCCAACACCATCTCCCCCTTCGAGTTTGCTCTCAAGAAAAAGCAGCTCGCCACTCAACAGCTGGCTGGTTGCCATCATCAGCACCACCACCACCACCAGCACCACGATACCGATGTCCCCTGCTGTTCTAGCATGATGGACATCGACTCCGGCATCTCCGCCACTGAACGTCGCGCATGCAAGCTCGTTTGTCGTCTAGAGCGGCAGCGAGTCAAGGTTCAGCAGAGGGCTCGTCTTCTGCCTGGGCCCATGGAGGTTGACACCGCTGAGGAGATGGGCTTTTTATTGGTTCGCCCCTCCGCTATACAACCTCACCACCACCACCAACAACAACAACAACAACAACAACAACAACGACGACGACGACGGCAAGAAGGGTGCCAGCTGGACAAGCCACCAGGGCAGACAATCAATCAGCGGTATACTACCGCTGAGACTCCTTCTTGCGACCGAGCGAATTTTTTCCCGGCGGCCATATTCCGGGACCAGCGATGCAACCATAAAAAACGAAGCAACTTCGTTCCGGTAAGCCGAATCCGGAACACTTGCTCTTCCTTCGGTGGCCCCAGGTAAGCCAACGGAGGACAGGGTTGAACTTCAAAGCAAGGCTGTCGGGCGACGAAGCCGGACTCTGCACCTCCTCGTGGTGTCGCCTGGGAACTTCCCTTTCCTCACTTTTGTGAGTGGAGGGGATGCCAGCGCAGAGACGCATTTTCCTTTTCGTTGTGCTGTGCTGTGTTTTGTCCCCCCCCCCCCCCACATTGTCTGCCCTCTTTTGTTTCCGCTCCTGTGTTTCGTGGCAGTCCAGACCTCCTTTTCTCACGCCTTCCTTTTTCCCGGTTCCGGCTCGTCTTTTGTGCCCCTTTTGTCCGTTTTCTTCTTTTCTTCCCGTTCTGCCCGTTCTGCCTATTTCTGCTTTGGCCCGGTTCTCCATTCTGTCAGCTTCGTCCTTTACCCTTGTAATTTTGTACGTTTCTCCTTGACATCCAATCCCTTCTCTTGGCTCAGTCCAGTGATGGAATCCATGAATATACCACGCCCGAGTCCTATCTCCCTGTACCTCCTTACCTATTCCGCTCCTGTGAAATCTACTTCTTGATATGATATCCCATCTCCCATTCTCACATATGACTCGCATGTGCCTGCCTTCACTCATACGTCCTATCGTTCTCGCTCTTGAGCCTTACTCCAGCCATGTCGAATATCAAATGAATGTAAAGTTGAATGTGCAAGTGACTGATAGACCATGACCACTAAGTGCCTCTGAATATTCTCCCAATGTTGCGTCTCATAGTATTCCTTTCGTCAATGTTCTTCGTGGTGGACTTGTGTTATACTCCTGATCCGGCCTCTACCCTATCGCGGTCATCGCACTATCCCGTCCGACTGATGTCGATGCGGGAACAGTGTCTGTGATACTTGACTGCAGATCAAACACCAGGTCTTGATCGACCATATTTGTTCATGACACGGCATTACATTACTGAGGCATGCTCAGTGGCATGACATCGCGCGTACTTTGCTTCCCCTACGAAGTACACCCATTGCTTAGCCAGCGCACCGAGACGCCAACGTCTTATGACCCCTCCCAACACATTCGTGACCAATTTCCTATGACATCAAAGCTATACTCGCTCGTTTCTCTTGCCTCCCGACTGCCCACGTAACGCACATCAATCACACCGGCGCCATGTGATGAAGACAGCACACCCAATCCCCCCCGGGCCCCTGGCGCCAGATGCTGGTGCAAATGGCCTCAGTAGGCCTCATGCGGTCCTTGGCCTCGCCGTCCTGCTTCCAGGCGGTGACGTGGTAGGTGAGCGAGCTGGACATCATGTCGACCTCGACGAACTTGAGGTCGTCCTGGTCCTGGTCCATGCGGTAGGCGGTCCAGGGCTCGAAGTCCTCAAGGAAGTCGTCCAGCGAGGGGTCGGAGTCCGGGGAGTAGATGGAGCCGTCGGGCTGGACGAGGATGGCGTCCTTGGCGAGGTATTTCTTGAGCGACTTTTTCGGGTTGGGGTCGCAGAAGGCGCGCCAGAGGAGCGTGACGGCTTCGATTGTGTCGTCGCGGTTGCGGCTGAAGATGTTTCTTGTCCCGCCCATTTTTGCTTTTGCCTTTTGGTGCTTTTTTGAACTGTCTTGGGTTGAAGAAGGCGGGCTTGGAGCGTGGGATTTTGATGTCGGTCTGGAGAAACAGGATTTGATGGGGTGTAGATAGATAGTAGGATAGGACAGATTTGTTGGTGGACAGACAGGAGTCACAGGACAGTGAAATATGGAACGATTTTGACTCGACTTCCCCAGTCATGTAGACTGTAGTGCAACTATGAGACCATGTGCCCTGGCCCCTTATGAGATTCTGCATTGTACAATGTAACAGAATACCTAATGTGATGAGGTCACGTCCGCGCGGACTCGTCCAGGAACTTGGAATTCAGGGTCCAAACATCGTCCATGTGTTGGGCAACGTCATCGGCCTGCCGTGGGTGACGTCACTGATTCCGTGCAAGGACCCCCGCCTGCGTTGTAGTTGGTGTGTTCGGTGTGTTTGGTCATTACCTCGGTGTAGTGTTTGGAGACCGAGAGCAGAGAGGTACCTAGCTACTTCTACTTACCTAACCTTTTCTGGGGAGTCGCGACTCGCGACGGGTTTTGCTTCTGGCCTCGCCATCTCGCGAACCATGCACCTCGGGCGGCCATCACAAGCCATAAGCTCATCTACCGATTCTCTCGACTAAATGGCTTTGTTTCTTTTTTCTTTCCTCTAGTTGTCGGAGGGGTCAAGTCATGACCCGTGGTTGACCCCGGGGTCCCCGACGGCGGAAGATTCCCTGCGGGTTGCCGTCAAGTTTTGGCACGCCACACTCACGGCCACCTGATAGATCACCATGGGGACGGACTCTGTCTCGGTTGTATGGATCTATCAAGTCCGAGGCGTTTATTGAACCATGGAGATCATCTCAACTGAGATCCGCTAGGAGGTTTGCTCCCTAAACCCCGTTGCATAGGATCATGGCCAGGAAGCCCGCTCAACCACGTTCAGTTACTGCAGGTCTGCGTACTGCAACTACCCGTCGAGAGTCCAGAGGTGATAGCCGTTCGTGAGTGGGCGCTAAAGCATGCAGGATCAGGTACGCAACAACCATGACACCAGCCACAACGGGCAAAGTAACGTTTGTAACGTTGCTTCCTTCTCGCGTGGAGACGCGTTGGGAAATGTCAGTTCTTTTAAAGATGCCGAACGAACATTGACGTTGGAGTTTCAGAGACCTCTCCAACAAGACGACTCACGACATCCCTGACGCTCAATCAATCCGATTGCGAGCATGGCGAGACGACTATTCTGGCTGGCCCTCGTAGCCGATATCCTGGGGCGACAGGCCGCCACCGCTCAACGTTTACTGGTCTCCGAAAATGGAGACACCACGCCAATACCTCACTGGGACCTTCAATCTTCATCCGAGACCAGTGAGGATCTTGCGTTCCTGGCGCAGGCTGGAGCGGACACCTCGTCCTGGCACCATGTTCCCGTCTCGAAGTGCACACTCATGGGATGTCTGCTCCATATCGGAGTCTACGACGACGACGAACTATGGTTCTCCAATAACCTCGAATCCTTTGATTGGCGTCAATTTACCGTGCCTTGGGTTTATCGTCACGAGTTTTCCCTCGCCCCTGAGGCCGGACAACACTACTTCTTGCAGACTCATGGCATCACGTCACGCGGAGATATCTACCTCAACGGCGAGCTGGTTGCCGACAGGGAGTTTCAATCGGGCTCCTACTCGGGACATGAGTACGACATCACGTCTTTGGTCGTCGAGGAGAACGCCCTCCTGATACAGGTCCATCCCACCAGTTACTATCACGACCTTGCCCTTGGCTTCATTGACTGGAACCCCAGTCCGGTACGTCAACAGAACGCCAAGACACTTCTTTTCTGCCGCAGCTGAACATCGAAGACTAAAATTGACTTCACGTTGACAGCCCGATAATGGGACCGGTCTCTGGAGGCCTGTAACACTGAAGCAGACGGGTGGCGTTTCACTTGGGCCCCTCAGTGCCCTTGTCTCCGTCAACCCCGGCTCCGTCACACTTCGAGCTACTGTCAGGAATTTGGAGGACGAAGAAGTGGAAGTCTCTGTGCGAGCTGTCATCTCCGAGCCGGGAGGCTTCGCCCGCCACATAGTCGATCAAACAGTGCCACTTGGTCCCGGCGAATCCCAGGTCGTCGAGTTCAACAAGACCTTTGAGGATCCAAAGACCTGGTGGCCGAAGCAGTGGGGAGAACAGCCGCTGTACTCGGCGACATTATCAGTGTCTGTCGACGACATCCTCTCGGATACAGTGCAACAGAAATTTGGGTTGCGAACCGTCACATCCAAGGTCGATAAAGATGATGACATCGTCTTTTCCATCAATGGACGTCCGTTTCAGGTCATCGGTGGAGGATATAGTGCGGATATGTTCCTCCGATTTGATCCTGAACGGTTCGAGGCCATTGCCAAGTACATGCTCGACATGGGTCTGAACACCATCCGGCTTGAAGGGAACAATGAGCAGCCCGAGTTGTACGAAATCGCCGACCGCCTGGGACTGATGGTCATGGCCGGCTGGGAGTGCTGTAACAAATGGTCTGTCTGCCCTTGTTCCCTCCCACTCTGTTTACTGGACTTCACCGCCAAACTAACATCGCATGACCTAGGGAATCCTGGGAGTACAACCGGGAGCTGGCCATCGATACGCCGGACTACTGGGACGAGAGGGACTACGCAGACGCCAACGCAACCATGTACCACGAAGCTCAGATGCTCCAGACACATCCTAGCATGCTCGCCTTCCTGATCGGCAGCGACTTTTGGCCGGATGACCGCGCCACGAAGATCTACGTCGACGCCCTGCGGCATTCCAACTGGCAGCTACCCATCGTGCCCGCCGCGAGCAAGCGAGGATATCCAGAGCTTCTGGGACGATCAGGGATGAAGATGAACGGGCCTTATGACTGGGTACCACCCAATTACTGGTACGACACCGAACCATCCGAGGATCGACTCGGCGCAGCATTCGGCTTCGGTTCAGAACTGGGCGCCGGCGTCGGCACCCCCGAGATGGGAAGTTTAAAAAAATTCCTCACCGACGAGGACATGGATGACCTCTGGCTCCGACCCAACAAGGGGCTCTATCACATGTCCACCAACGTCTCGCAATTCTACAACCGCAGAATCTACAACGAGGGTCTATTCAACCGATACGGTCCTCCAAAGTCTCTGGAAGATTATCTCCGAAAAGCACAAATCATGGACTACGAAGCCATCCGTGCGGAACACGAAGCCTTCGCATCGAGGTGGAGCACCGGCCGCATTGCCACGGGCATGATCTACTGGATGCTGGTAAACGCCTGGCCCAGCCTGCATTGGAATCAGTTCGACCACTACCTGCATCCCGCGGGTACTTACTTCGGCAGCAAGGTCGGGGCTAGGATCGAACACGTGTCGTACAACTACGTCGACAGGGGCGTCTGGCTCATTAACCGCTCGCTGGACCGAAGCGGTCCCCGAACCGTCACTGTTGAGGTGGTTGATCTCCACGGCAACGAGGTGGCTAGCGAGACGTACGCCGCCGAGACGGTGCCGAACGTCGCTTCGAGGGTTGCTGACGTCCCGGGACTGGGAAACACAACGGACGTCGTATTCATCCGTTTGGTGCTGCGCGACAGTGAGAGCGAGATACTTAGTCGGAACGTCTACTGGATCGCACCGAGCGTGGATCAGCTTGACTGGGGAAGCTCGACGTGGTATTACACTCCGGTCGCGAGGTTTTCCGACTACTCTTCCCTCTTTGACATGCAACCTGCCTCCATTGAGACTGCGGTTACCGTGTCAAAGGAGGAGGGAGACGGTTCTTGGACGCACACTGTGGTTTTGGAGAATACGTCGACCGTCCCGGTGTTCTTTATCCGTCTGAATGCTATTGATGAGGATGGTCAGGATGTCAACCCCGTGACGTGGTCAGACAACTATGTCACGCTGTGGCCGAAGGAGAAGCTGGAGCTCAGGGTCAATGATTGGGGTGGTGATGCGGCAGTTGTGCATATCGACGCCGCCAATGCTCCTTCGACGTCGCTGGCACTCAGGTAGAAGAAGCCTGCGATAATGCTAAACATGTTTTGATGGGAAGGTATGTCATCATGGCGCCCATTTAGTCATACGCATGAGCGCAAGAGGCCGAGCCTCATCCTGACATGACTACCTTCACCTCAGGGCCATCACCGCTACACTTTCTGAACGCCGCCGCCGACTTCAAACGGAGGTATGTTCATGTTGGAACCGCAGCCACTCGGTCTGATGCCCGCCGAAGAGATATGGTAGGGGGGTATTATGGAGCTGGTGAACGACCGACTGCGGCAGGAACTCGGCATATTCGTCCGCCCCAGAGTGCAATGCGTCGGGGTTCCTCGTACTCCTCGTGGCAATCCAGATCGTTGACGTCGTCGTTCTGATCGTACGAATTCCACCTGATGAGGGTTTTTCGTCCTGAACTAGCGGAAGAGGTGGGACGGGTCGCTGGACAGCTGAAGTAGACCGGGTTGTTGATGAATATGATGGTGCGGCGGGGGAGGACGAGTTCCTGGAGGGTCCAGCCTCGCTCCCGGTAGGCGGAGCGCCGCAAGTGCCAGTCGATGCCGTGCACGGCGGCCATTTTGAGGTCCGGGTTGATTCGGGCGACAAGTTGGCGAGGCGCTCGAGGATGGAGTCGAACGCCGGGCAAGTCGGAGTTGGCGTTGTCTCCTGAACCGGCGACGAGGGTGAAGTACGACCCTTGGTAGATGGAGTTCATTTCTCGGACACGTGGCGACAGGCATCCCCGTGGACCCGATCGCATTGGTTCAACCAGCCTTTCACGAGTTTCGACGAGATTATCGCTGACCGTGTCTCCCTCGCGATACAGGGTGCAATGGCGGGTGCGATGATGGCGTCCGTGCCGTCGTCTTCAGCAACAAACATCAGACGGGTACCAAGCTGTGAAGGGTATGATAGTCGGAAACATGGCTCGTCGGGGAAGACGAAAACGTTGACGGTCTTCTCGCCTGACAAAGGAGTTGAGGTTTTTCATCGGAGTCATCATCGCCCTGGCCCTCGCGGTGCGTTTGAGTTTCGACGGATGCTGATTCATGGCGACTGCTCTCTCGTATCACATTTGATCCAAAGCGAATTGGCAGAAACAACAGCCATGTCTGCTTTTGAGTTGGTGCCAAATGCCGAGAGGAGAACCTACATGTAGGTATTGCTCTTCGTCGGTCAATCCGAGATGAGATGTTAGTTTGTCGTGAGAGACGAATTCTCCGAGCACAGGACGGAGGGATTGGAGGCGTCGGCAGAACTCCGTGCAAGGTGCCTGGGCTGGGTCGTTTGCCCCTACTTGCTTGCTGTCTTCACCCACAAACCTTTGAACTGGCATTCCGATGATTCGATCTCGTTCATCCAGCTTGAATATGGTCCAGATCAAAAGTAAATCGTGTTTATTGACCGTGCTAGCCCTTCTGCCTTCCCCAGACTCGGCGCAGTGCGGTCCATTACACTCCTCTAGGATCCTTCCATGTCGACACGACTCCTTGTCCATCTATATATATCAACGATATTGCTCTAGAAAGACTATCGATTCATTCGATCTGAAGCCAGGGGTCATTGAGAAGTTGCGCGGCTGTCTTCCTATCCTCGGGACGCCATTGAAGCATCCCCCTAACGAATGTGAGGAACTTCTCCTTCTCCTCGCCTTCATAACGCGCCACGGCATTGTCCAAGCATGTATCTTGGGGAATGTCCACATCGGCCTTCCATTTTCCTAGAAAACGTATTAGAATGAACGACTGGTGTTGCGATATGACAGCGGATGGGCTGTAGCAGGAATCCATACCGTCTTCCGTGAAGAACTCCATGCTCCGTCTCCCTTTCTGGACAATATCTAAAGGTGGAGGGCCTAGCATGGCGACTACCTCGGCGAGGTGAGCCCGAGTGGTGTATTTGTTCTTTTTGGGGTCGTCCCCATAAAATAGGTGTCTTCCTTCAAAGAGGTCCCAAATCTATCACGGAGAAGTCAATACAACAATGCATGTGGTCTTTGGTAACAGTAAGCGGCAAGCGAGGGAGTACCATGACGCCCACGTTCCAGATATCCACCGGATAGCTCCATTGTGCGGACAAGACGACATTCCGTATGCAAGTAATCAAGAGCAAGGAACAGCTGGGCTAAGCCTGCCTTCAAAAGCACCTCGCTGAATCGATGTGCGGGATTTCGACGGAGCATGTCTCTCCAGCTATCCCACATTGGCTTCAGCACGAGACAGTGGTGATTCCCTTCGGTGCCTTGAAGCTCGAAGGTGTCGACGGCCGTCCGAACATGACGGTGGCCGGGATGCGAAGGATTGGCCTGCCCGATCAGCGAGTATATCTCGAACTCATGTAGCTGTATTCCTCGCTTAAAAATCTTCAGGGCCACGTATGTGTGCTCCCTAGGAACGTAGGAACGTCAGATCCATTGTCTGCCCTACGTGTCTTGTCTTGTTGCTTGGGCGACCATGGACTTACTGAAGATTGCGGGCAAGCCACATAGTAGATGTGGTCCCAAAGCCCATTTTCCCTACAACCTGGTATTGGGAAGCGAAGACATCCCCGATGTTTACCGGGTAGTACTTCCCGGCCTTGAACTCATGGAATTGTTCTTCTTCGAGGATGAAGGGATCCTTGATGACGGAAAAGCCTGTCGTCGGAAACTGTAGCGGCGTGAAGGGAGCGCGTCGAAAGGAGTTTCTCACTACATTAAGAAGGGACTTCATCTTTGCTTAAGAAAGAGAAAAGCAAGTTGAAGCCTTCCCCGGTCGAAAGACGTGGAAATATGAGGATTGAAGTCTCACTTTGACCCCCGTTTATTTTGGCATTTGCTCCTTTTATTGCCTACCCTTTATAAGAGCTGCCGTCGAGCATTCTAACACATACGACCATACCCACTGGAGAACTCGGGATCCCGTCCGCTCTCCCCTAGATAAGCCAGTGAGGGCCGGATTAGTAGTTGGGTCTGGTGACGACCAGCGAATACCCGGTGTTGTATGTTTTTTCGTCCTTTGCTTTTCTTTTTTCTTTGCGCCTCTATATTTTTCTTTTCTTTTGTTTTCCCCTCTTGTCTGTCCCCTTTCTGTAAAAGACACGGCCACGATGGAGATGAAGGCGAGTCCAAATTAGTAGTTCTTTGGTCATCTCTTTGGGAACGATAAAAGATGCTGCCCATGCCACATCCACCATGTTGGCTTACGCTGACTGTGATTCAGACCATGCGTATCAAAGGGGAGGCCGAGTCCCCGAGTGAAGACGACAAGCATGCTGAATACACGTAAGTATTTCCCGAGGAAAACGGAACAAGAAGAAATAGCCAAAGGTAGACGAATTGGCCAACCAGTCAGCATCGGTCCGTCCTGGCCGACGAAGAAGTGTGATGCCGTATATCGTCCACGCCAACGCCGTCAGGCGCGCCGTCTCAATCTAAGGTGTGCCAGTCCAGCACCTCCCCAGGAAACCAGTCCCAAAAAGAGAGAAACGAGTAGACAGAGAAAAAAGAAGGCGAAAAAAAAAGATTAAAAAAAAGGAGTCCCCAGCTTTCCTTTCCTTCCATTCATGCACCATCATGCCCAAAGTGAAATTATCCCCAACGCCGTTGCTGACAGACGCCTAGTAATCGAACCCCCCCCCCCCCCACACCTCCATCCAAGTAGAGAGAAGCGGCTAGACGCTCTTCTTCTCGCCAGACGCTTCGGCAGGTTTGCTATCAATGTCCATCTTATCAGCCGATTCGTCAGGCCGCCGCTTGGCGTCTCCGTCCGGCTTCGTCGCTGTCTCCTCCGCAGCCGGCTTGGCCTTCTGGCCGTCCTCTTTCGCCCGGGGGGGTTCCGGGGCTGGGTCAGCCTCTTTCTCGGGTGAAGCGTTGCCGGAGGCTGGCTTGGACGTATCCATAGGTTGATCGGCCGGAGTGCTGGTGGCCGGTTCTGGCTCCACTTCTTCCTCCTCGATGGTAGTAGCAGGCTCGTCGGCGGCCGGGGCCGTGTCGTCGCCCATGTTCACATCGCCGTCGCGATCGACCGCGCCATCTTCTTCCTCTTTCGGGGTTTCCGCCTCCTTTGGCACCTCTGCCTCTTTCCGTGCTTCCTTTTGGGGCTCCTCCCGGTCCTTCTCGGTCTCTTTCTCGGACACCTTCTCCGTATTGCTGTCAGCGACCACCTCACTGGCCTTCTCCATATCAACGTCCTCCACCACTTCAGCCTCCTTTTCGGGTTGTTTCTCGGTTTCCGTCTCGGCCTGGACCTCGGCCTCGGCGGCCGGCTTCTCGGTGAATTCATCGCCGTCGACAGGCTTATCAATGGTGACATCTGGGTCCTCTTCGGCCTCAGCGGTGGTCTCCTCCGTCGCCGCACCGCCGTTGACAGGCGTCTTATTGCGCTTGGCCTCGGCCTCGACCTCGGCCTCGGTCTTGCGGTAGTCGGTGAAAGTGCGCTTCTTAGCAGCGCGCGGTTTGGTCATGCCATTGGCGGCATCCATGTCCTCATCGTCGCTGTCTTCAAACTCGGCCTCGTTGCGGATGCGCTGGTCCCAGCGGTGCTGCGTCATCCGGGCGTCTGGGTTCTCGTCCTCGTCGAGGTCGTTCAGTTCGGCTTCTTCCTCATCGGTCATGCCACCAATGGGGTGGCGGGGGACGTCCTGCATCTGTACGGACGGAACAGGGCATGTGTGACGGAGGTTGTCAATCACGGCAGCTTTGATCTTGTCGAGGTACTCGACGCTGTTCGAATTCTCCATATTCGACGAGCGCACGTCCAGTTCGAAGTCGGGAGCGTAGTACTGCGGGCCGGCGGTTAGCAGGAGCCGTCGCAGCGTTGCACAAGACAAGACAACGGGGGAAGACTCACCTCGTAATATTCGTTATAGGGCAACTCCCTGGGGAGTCTCTGGCCGACTAAACAGCCCGTCTCGAAGGCCCACGTACGAGCGACGTTGCGCATGGTGTAGCCACCGCCGCCGAGAACCATGGTCGGAAGGCCGAAGCTCTTCACGTATTCGACGCAATTGGCGTGGCCTTCCATGCTCAGGTTGAAGCAGCCCAGTCGATCGCCGGACAGACTGTCGCCGCCGCACTGGAGGACGACGGCCTCGGGCTGGTAGAACTTCATGACGTGTTCGATGACGGGCTCGAAGATGGACTTGTAGGAGGTGTCGTTGATGCCGTCGCGGAGGGGAAAGTTGACAGCGTAGTGTTTGCCCGAGCCAATGCCGACGTCGCGCAGCTCGCCGGTGCCGGGGAAGTACTCGCCGTACTTGTGGAAGGAGACGGTCATGACACGGTCGGTGGTGTAGAAGGCCTCCTCGACGCCATCGCCGTGGTGGACATCGATGTCGATGTAAAGGACGCGCTTCATGAACCGTAGAAGCTCGAGGATGCCCAGTACGATGTCTGCGGGAAGTCAGGGGAACTGCTTGTCAAAAAACAAAAGGCAAAAAGGGCACAGGAAGGCGATGGTTTACCATTCACGTAACAGAAGCCGCTGGCTTCGCTCTTCTTGGCGTGGTGCAGACCGCCAGCCCAGTTCACGGCAATGTCGCATTTCTGGCGGTTGAGACGCGCGGCACCCTCCATACTACCGCCGGCGCTGATGCCGCAGAACTCGAACAGGCCGTCGAAGACGGGGCAATCGTCGCCGACGTTGAACTTTGTCTGCTCCTTCTGGTAGGCGTCCATGTTATCGGGAGTCACCTTCTGGAGGAAGTCGATGTATTCGTCTGTGTGGAATTGGGTCATTTCGCCGCGGGTCGCAGGTTTGGCGCGCTGGGAGGAGACACCGTCAGTGAGAGGCCAGGGGGACAACGAGCGGCGGGCTACACGGGTAAAGAACGAAGTACTTACGTATATTTCCATCTTTTTGAAGAGGTCGTAGTGCATGACAAGACTATGTGCCAGTCGAATGCGATGCGGCTTCATGGGGTGGCCTGTGGGATAGGCATGGTTGGCGATGTCGGAATCGTAGAAGTAGGCAACCTTCTTAGGCGAAGACCCATTCAGGGCCATAGAGCCTAGAGGCGTCATGGCAAGCTTGGTAAACGACAGATGAAGTCGGAGTAGACTGTTCGATTCGACTGCGGGTTTGTTAGAGTCGATCTCAGGGGGGCGAGTGCGACGGGCGAACAAGAACGATGGAGGTAGAGCGCAGGATGCGGAGGGGAGGGAGAAAGAGAAGGGAAGGACATCCAAACGCTTCCTCAGAGATGATGTGTAAAGCGTGCAATGTATTAAACGTACCGAACAAATGAAAGGAAAATCTAGAGCCAAGTGGACGAGTTTGGTCTCAAGGTTAGATTTAGGGTGGGATGACGGGATTGAGGGTTGCGAGGATGGAGAAGATGGACTAAGGTACGGAGCAATAATTACCTTAGCTTAGGAAGCGGCTGGAGAAACGCCCGAGGCTGCGAATAGTTTGTACTCCATACTTTGCCATACTTTGGTCATTACTTTCATGCCCGACTTACACTACTAAATCTGCAGGGTCTTGTCCAATCATGGGATGGATTTTCCGTGACTAATAAAGCCCGGCCATGGAGAATGGACCAATCAAGTTTCTTTTATAGCTGGGAACATGCGAGGCTGATGCTTGAAGAGTTCCGTCTCGTACTTCGTCGTACTTCGTCGTACTTTGTGCCTTCTGGACCGCAGCCACAGGGTCCAAAGTACTCGCTGACGGGTAATGGATTACAAGCTGGTTGAACTGGACATACAAAACACTACTTTGTAATAGATTCTTTCTGGAACGGTCGCTAGATAGACAGTCATTAGATTCTGGGTTCTATATCATTCTAGGTATATTTCTTGAATCGTGAAATTCACGCTCTGTTCTCATGTATCGGCAGGAAGTACAGCTCGTTTTTAGCCACATTTGCAAGTGTCAAGCCACAGCAATGGGCAGCTGTATCTACCCGGTGAGTACCGTATGTACCTTACCTTACTTAGCTACGTACCTGAAGGGCCCCAGTTTTCTACCAGGCTGCTGGAGCTGTCGTCAACATGCAACAAGGCAAGAAACCCACACATCGAACCGACAGCATACATCCACGGCCTGCCTTTTCTCGACCTCCACGATCTACCGACATTCACCACGCGACCCCGTCTTGATTCTAATCGTCAGATTCACTTTGCTTCGTTAATTCTCTCACATCACTCCGATGGATCGATTTAGGAGCATGCTCCAGGCCGGCGGCATGGGCGGCCTGGGTACCCAGCCGGGAGCAGTAAGAGCTTCCCTCCTCGACGCCCTCCCTCCCTACCCTGATCTGGGGCGCGCCCTCATCTGCCGTCTCTGTGGCACTTATTCAAACCGGACGAACCTTTGTTTCTGACTATGCTATTCTACAGGACAACAGCCAGCTGATCGACAACTCCGAGACGGTCTACATCTCCTCCCTTGCGCTCCTCAAAATGCTTCGTCACGGTCGCGCCGGTGTGCCGATGGAAGTCATGGGTTTGATGCTAGGAGAGTTTGTCGACGACTTTACAGTACGCGTCGTGGACGTCTTTGCAATGCCCCAGAGCGGTACCGGCGTGTCCGTCGAGGCGGTGGATCCGGTGTTCCAGATGAAGATGATGGACATGCTGCGGCAAACGGGAAGGTAAGGACAATAAGGACACCGACACGGGCAACAGACCACAGACAGACAGGTCTCCCGGAACACAAAGGCCAAGCTAACAGGGGCTCTTGCGCAGGCCCGAGTCCGTCGTCGGCTGGTACCACTCGCATCCCGGCTTCGGCTGCTGGCTCTCCTCGGTCGACATCAACACGCAACAATCGTTCGAACAACTCACACCCCGCGCCGTGGCCGTCGTCGTCGACCCGATCCAGTCCGTCAAGGGAAAAGTCGTCATCGACGCCTTCCGGCTCATCAACCCGCAGACCATGATGATCGGCCAGGAGCCGCGCCAGAGCACGAGCAACATCGGCCACCTCAATAAGCCGTCGATCCAGGCGCTCATCCACGGACTGAACCGGCACTACTACTCCATCGCCATCAACTACCGCAAGACGGCGCTCGAGGAGAACATGCTCATGAACCTGCACAAGCACGTGTGGACCGAGGCGCTGGAGATGCCCGACTTCCGGATCGAGGGCTGCAACAACAAGGAGCGCCTGGAGCGCCTCGTCAGCCTGGCCGAGGGCTACGAGAAGCGCGTCAAGGAGGAGACCGAGCTGACCAAGGACCAGCTCAAGACGCGCTACGTCGGCAAGCTCGATCCGAAGAAGCATATCGAGGACGTGGGCCAGCAGTTGATCGAGGACAACATCGTCTCGGTGTCTCGGCAGATGATCGATAAGGAAGCTGCATTGCCGAAGAGCGACGCTGCTGCCGCGGGGGGGAAGTCGGGGGAGGACCGCATGGATGTTGAGGAGGAACTGTAGAGGGGCAGTTGAAAGACCACGTAAACGCATGGAAGGGACCGACCTAGAACCGAGATAACCAGGTAGGGGGGGCAGAGATACCAGGACCTTTGCCTACTGTGTACAATTAGGGCGGCGTTGTGTGGGCGGGCGCCAGCGCACGAGGAGCGGGCCCAACCGTCGTGTACGAGGCGGAGACCATGCCGAGGTAGCATGGCAGAAAAGAGCTGACCTTGCTGCCTTTATGATCGCGAATAGATCCCGAGTCATCAATTCCATGTGGTGTTCATGAACAACGACTCTCTTTTGGACTGATGGAGTTAAGCACGAGAGACGACGTATATGATTCAATTTCACCCCCTTTGTTCAAGGCAGACCTATTGATTACCAGACAAGGCTGCCGTTCAGTGGATTGTTCTAGATGTCGAGCCTTGTGTCATCTCAGGCAGTACGTTTTACGATGCGGCGGAAGTTCTATAAAGTGAAGGCGACGGAGTCATCTCAGACTTCTGGCTCATCTAGGCACTCGACATTGATCACATTCACAACAGTAACGACGACGACGACGACAACGACAAGAAGAAGAAGAACAAACCCAGAGCAAAGATGAGATCCAGCGACCATCGCCGCTCCAACTCTCGGCAAGCGCCAGAATCAACATCCGGTTATGCCGGCCCTCTTCCCTACTACCACTACAAACCCCTCCCTCCGCTCCCCACGACCGACATCTCGCTGGAGGACTGCTCCCAGGAGGTCCTCACGCCGGCCATCCTCAACAGCGTCCTCGTCCGAGTGAGCCAACTCCTCGGCCACATCCCCTACGCCGTGTGCGGACGGGCCGCCATCGCCCACTACGGGTACCGATATGCGGAGGAGGCCAACGACAGCAGCAGCAACGACGACGACGACGACGGCGACGACGACGGCGACGAGAAGAATCAGGTACGCATCCTCTGCCCTTCGTACGCCCGGCAGGTCATCCGCGGCTGGGCCGCAGCAGCAGGGCTCCCCGTCTCCCTGGCGGGGAACGAGGCCGGGCACGCGTTCCTCGCGGTGACCGTGCCGGAGGACAAGTCGGTGCGCAAGGTGCGCATCGAGTGGATGCGCGACGACGTCTTTAAGAGGCTGGGCGTCGCTTCGAGGGGCGAGGCCGGTGTTCGGGTGCTGGCTATGCCGGAGCTGATCAACGATTTGGCGGGGGTGTATATCGAGGAGAGGACGAGACGGCGCGAAGAAGTAGGCGACGACGACGACGACGACGGCGGCGGCGGCGGCGGTAGCGCCAACGGCAGGCACGACGGCGTTGCGCGGCAGATCGTGTGGTTGCTGGGACAGATCGACAGGGAAGGGCTGGCCCCTGAGCAGAGGATCACAGAGGAGAGGGTCCCGAATGTGGTGAAGGCGGATTTTTGGACGCCGTTCACTTTTGCGCATCCTGGTGCGGCTGGGCTCTTCTACGATGCCGGGTTTGAACCACCTACCGAGCGGTTTCGACAGGACGAGGAGGCAGAGGAAGAGGCAGAGAGGATGCGTGGGGGGAGGCGCCTAGAAGACGAGGACGACGATTGGCGAGCCGAGATGGAGTCATTGATGGCTTGGACCGGCGATGATGAGGTTGAGGCGTCGGAGGAGGAAGAGGAAGCGATGAGGCGGGTGATGGAGCACTTGAAGAGACTGGACTCCATCACCGACGACAACCTCTGGCGAATGGAGGTGGAGAGGTTAATGTTTCCTGAGGATGCATGCGGCGTTCAGGCTCCTCCTGTTGCCCGCGTGCGATCATCATCGTCGTCATCTGAAGAAGAAGAGGGGGCAGCGATGAGCTTCAACGACAGTCAAGAATCTTTGGATTTTGCCCTTTTGACGGCCGAGATCAACTCGATGTTGCTGGACAGACGCAGGCCAGACCCAAAGGAAAACCCAGACTCAGACTCGGACCCATCGTCCTCCCAAGTCCAAGACGTGGAACAATCGAGTTGGACAGGTCGGCATGTGTCGTCGAGGCCTCGCTTGCGTCGTATGAAAGGCAGATACTTCTTCTTGAGACGTCGTGACGCAGCGCAGGCGCCGGTAATGAGCCGCGGGGATCTGGACAGAACATGAAGCTGAACAGAAAGAAGTTGAACAGCAACGTGGCGCCCACAAAGATGTCCAGTGGATGCTATTTTTGGCTATTTCTGGGCAAAAGCTCCCACTAATGCAATGCAGCCGGGCCAAGAAGCGTGGAAAGAGTGCATCTTGGTGTGTCTGGGAGATGCAAGACGAGCAATAGTACCACTGGGCGGCCAGTCATGAGGGCAACGAAGCCACCACTACGGCCATTGCAACCATCACGACAGCCATAAAGATGGAGTTTGTCCATCTGCCCACCACACCGCAGTGGTACTTGATGTTGTTAGTAGATTTCATACCACTATTCTTTTTTCTTCTCACTATTCCTGGTCTACTTCGTGTGTGAATATTCATTAGTAAACTGACTAACTAATTACTCCATAGCCCGCCCGTAGTAGCACTTCAAACGATGGGATCCATTATGGGATAATCCGCCGTTCAGCCGGTAGTTTTCCTATTCGGGACACCGAGTGAAAGCGACAGGCCACTCAACGAAGAGGCAATTCTAAAATCCAACGTTATCAAATTGGAAAATTTTCACATATGTAAAACTTCTGTTTTTTATGCTCGATATTTGACGCCCGTGAATCTGAGAAACCAGCACGAGCACAACTGGGAGGCAAAAGTCCCGGATGGATAATTACTCTGCTCATATGTCCCCCTTTTTTCTCTCCATCGCCTCGCTTCGTGGTGTTTTCCTGGACCCCTGTTCCCTTCCATCTTATGCCCAGATCCCTGCTCAGACTCCCCCAAACGTCTTAGTCCATGCTCGCAGCCCTGTCGCACGGACGGCTAAGACATGCCGACCAGAGCCCCCATTGGACACGCTCGCAGTGGTACGGGCTGGGTCCCTGTCGTGGCCAATCTGGTGTTGCTTACGGCGGGTTCACCCAGGAAATGAGACGTCCAGGATCATGCAGGAGACTGCAGGAGGCGAGAGGATTCTTCATCTGTCTTCGGTACCCTACCTTAGCTACCTTATTCCTCTGCCTGCAGCACTTGCGCTTGGTAGTGACTAAATATTAGCTATGGGGAAGGAGGATTGCAATGGTATCGTGTGAGCCCTGCGAGCCTAGACAGAAATGATATGGGCCGGAACGAGTGGCCGGAACAAGTGGCCGGGCAGAGCGAGAGTGGTTGAGTGACTGGACTGGCCGGTTCTTCTGCTGATCCGTTCTGGCCTTCTCGTCGTCTATCTTCTCGCCCAACGAGGGTTTGCCAAACGACTCTTCTTTCCTTTTTTTTCTTCTTCTTCTTCTTCTGTTCCCTTTTAGCCACACCCCCCCGACGATCCTTACTTTACAGTTACACCCACGCTCATTTAGGTTGCTCTATCTTGCTCTTTGGGGTCTTTTTCGTTTTCTTCTCCTCCTTCCTTTCCTTCCTTTTTTGCTTGACCAGCTCAAATCCCATCAGTCCAAGCGTATTCGTCGAAGACAAAAGGAAGACGCCGCCGCCGCCGCCGCCGTCTGCCCATCATGTCCGACGTAGCCTCCCTCCCGACGCTGACACTCGCCACCACGTACGCCTACTGCGCCGGCCTACTGGACGAGGATGAGTTTGACGGTCCCGACGGGACCTTGTGCGAGAGATGGGCGGTTCCCTTGACCACCCAGTTCGTCGTGCCCACGGGCTGCCCCGAGGTCATCGTGCAGTCGTCAGTCGGCGTAGACCCGGAGTGCCGTCCCGACGGTTTCTTCCAGGTGTGGTGGAACGACGGGTACTACTCTCCTGCTGTGTGCCCGGAGGGTTACGTCGTCGCCTGCACCGGCACGGGCGAGTCGCTCAACTACGAGCTCATCGGCCCTGCCGAGACTGCGGCCGCGTGTCTGCCGAGGTACGTGTGGCCGAGAATGGCGTCCCCCTGCCTTGGTTTGAGAGATGTGGGCTTGAGAGTCTTTCTTTTTTCTTTCTTCTTTTTTCCCCTTTTTCCGTTTTTCTTCGTCTCGTGCTTGAAAAGAAAAGCAGGGGGGGGGGGGGTTCGAAGAATGGAAACAAAAGAAAATTGAGAGCACGAAAACGAAGAAAACCAAGAGAGAAGCACAGAGAGGGCGAAGCCATTTGAGGACATTGCACTAACAAGCGACAACAGTGGCTTTACATGCGATATCGGCAGCGGCGAGAACCAGAACGTCTTCTGGGGAGACGGCGAATACACCGACATTGACGGTTTCGTCACCGGCATAGCTGCGGCCATCCAGATCCGCTGGACCGAGGACGACTTGTCCCTCCTCCCCTTCCACCCCATGGAAAACGCCAACTTGATTACTGAGGCTCCCACCTCAAGCTCGCCCACTTCGACGGCCGCCCCCACGAGCACGCGTGCTCCCTCCACGGCGCCCGAGGAGCCGAGCAACACGTCCGCGCCCGCGTCCAGCTCGTCCTCGGAGCCCTCCTCGGAGGCCAGCAGCGGCGCCGGCAGCGGCAGCGGCAGTGGTACGCCCGTCGGCGCCATCGCGGGCGGCGTGGTCGGCGGCGTGGCCGCCCTCGCGCTGATCGGCGTGCTGATCTTCCTCCTCGTCCGCCGCCGCAACCAGAAGAACAAGGCCGAGGCCGCCGACCAGCAGCAGGCCCAGCAGGGCGGCATGCCCCCCATGTTCCCCCCCGGCCAGCCTCCCATGCAGCAGATGGGCCCCGGCCCGCACCAGCCCTACCCCGTCGGCCCCGGCGGCGGCATGATGATGGCCCACACGACGACCCCTCCTCCTCCCCCCGGCTCCGTGGCGGCCTACGACCCCAACGCGGTCGGCGGCATGCACATGGCTGGCGCGCAGCACCCTCCCTCCATGTACGGCGGTGCTGGTTACCCCCCCGCCCCCGTTGCGTACCCGGCGCCGACGCACTCGCCCGACGGCGGCATGGCGCATGTGTACCCCAAGCCTTCCCCCGCGGCGCACACGACCGAACTTGCGCACGGGAATGATCTCGAGGTGGCTTCGATGGGGCCGCCCCGGTCCGAGGCGGGGGCTGGGAATGAGGAGTGGGAGAGGCAGCAGCTTATGATCAGGCAGAACCAGCTCAATGAGCGGCGTGCTAGGTTAATGCAGCTGGAGCACATTAACCAGGAGGAGGATGCTATCCGGCAGCGTCTCTCGACCATGCCTCCTCAGTAAATTGGTTCCGCGTGGAAATCCGCGTGGGCTTTTTGCGTCAAGTCTCTTTTATTTTTGTCTTTGTTTTTCCATTGCGACAAGACTTTTGTTTTCGGGTTGAAGGGGATGAGATATGGGGATGCGACAGGGCCCGACTTGGTGTTTTGAGGTGGGAAACGAAGGTTTAATTAATGTTAAGAGTCGGCTGTCTTTTTTTTATTTATTTTATTTTTTATTTTTATTTTCCTAGAAAGATAGCATTGGAGTTCTACCTGTCAGGGTCTGTCTGATTGGAGCATGTTTTTCCCCCAGAAAAGAATGCTACATTGGTTGTGACATTCCATTGTCCTCCGTACGAAGTACACGAGGACGTTGAAATGTTGACATATTGACATGGGTACAATCTGCGCTGTCACTTATCGTACCTTGCCTTCCTTACCTAAGGTGTACCTAATTACTCCGTACTTTCCTCTCTTCGTACAGTCGGACTATACAGCTTTTCTTATGCGATGGATATACCATAGTTCCGGATGTCTGTATATGTGTCTCGGGTGTTGGTTGATGGACTTCCAAGTTGCGTGCTCTTTAGCATCTTGCATCCAATTATATTTTGTCAGAACACGAATATCGGTACCGGAATCGTGGTCGTATTCTTCTACCTATGGAAAGGAAAGATTCCCTTGTGGGAAGTATCTGTGACTATTTGTATAGCCAGGGTTAGGGCTATTTAGAGTCGTTAGTACTTGCCAAGACTATACCCGAACTATACCCGAAAAGGTCCCGAAGTCATGCCCCGATATCCTGGAGCCTTTATCTAATACACCCCCCCAGAACTAAGGGATTATATCTAATAGTTCTGACCCTTAAAACCACTTAAATCGAGGTCTAAAATAGCTTAATATTAACGTAGAATTAACGGCTTATTAAACAGCTTATTATCTTTAAAAGCAGCACTAAAATAACCGTTAATAGCCATAAATAAGGCTATAGTAGCCGTAGCCACGTAACCACGTAGCCACGACTATTAACCCTATCCACCTCCTAACTATTCAAACCGTCGTAGATCCTTTAATAGGCGTAGCTCTTCCTCTTCGTTAGGAACTAGAACTATAGGCGGTGTGGTCCTTTTACCTTTTTCGGACGTTCTGCCGCCACCTCGTGACTTAATTCGAGTGCCTTCCTCGGTAGTAATAGCAGTTAGATCTTCTCCCTTTTCCTCCACTATAATAATAGCAGTATCTTCTTTTTCAATAATAATAGAGGCTATAGGCAGGGCTATAGGCAGGGCTACCACCCCCCTAGATCTTAACGAAGAACCAGGGCTAACCTCTTTAAAAACAGGTTTAAACTGTTTAATCCGTTCGGCCGAAGTAATAATAATAGATTAACGAATAATAGCAGGAATAAAAGGGGTATTAAAGAAGCTAAAGTCGGCGTGCGAGGCGATATCGTTATACGTGCCGTGAAAATAGACGGTATCGTCGTCGTCGCTATCTTCTTCCTAAGCAGCGTTAGTAAAGTACGAAGACTACTCGGTAATCTTCTTCTTCTTTTCCACCTCTCTCTTTAGGTTAGCTTTAAAGCTTATTTAACGATCCTATTCCTAACTCTTAATAACCTTCTTATAGTATTTAACCACTTCTTTTAACGGTTTATATCTATCCTTTATTTATATCTTATTGATACTAGGGTATATATACTAAGGTCGATAATAGGTATCGCTTCTTCTAGCCCTAATATAATTATAGATAAAATCGATCCACCCCTAAAGAGACTCCTTAGCCCCCGGGGTCTTCCCTTTTTCGTCCTTTCCGAGAAATATCGCGGTGTAGAAGCTATTTTATATAGGCTTTAATTATAGGCGTTTAGGCTCTTAAACCCTTAACTAATTAATATACCTCCTCGCTAAGGCTTTAGGTGCTAGACGGTCCTATTCTTCGAGGTCGTGGATCCGAATAGAGGTAGGGTCTCCTTATTCCAGTATACGCAGGATTCGAATTAATAGTAGAGGTCACGGTTAACGCTACTGATTATATAGTTACTAACCCGCGCGATCGAATTAAACGCCTTATCGTATCGGCTTTCTTTAAGCTAGAATAGACGGAAGTTAAAGTCTTTATTATTAGAGTCCTCTTCGGGTAAGGTAGGCCGTACTAATTTTAGGCGCTCTTCGTCCGGAACCTCGGGGTCGATATACTACTAGACTTTATACTATATCGCGATTACTCGGATACTATTAATCTATAGTTTTTAATTATCGGGCTTTTAAAGGATCTTTAACGTCGGGTACTTCTTTATATCCATTATAGACTTCGGAGGCTTTACGGCACGGCACGGTATAGGGTAGGTAATAAATAGAATAGAATAATAATATAACTATAGAGTAGGCGGATATTACCGTTAAATAACCCTAAATCATAATAATCGTTAAAATAGTAATACTATTAGATTTACTAAAATAGAGTTGTTTTTTAGAGCGCTAGGCTTATAACTATTAGAATACGAATATCGGTACCGGAATTATGGTTATATTCTTTTATAGAAAGGAAAGATTCCCTTATAGGAAGTATCTCTAACTATTTATATAGCTAGGGTTAGGGCTATTTAGAGACGTTAGTACTTACTAAGACTATTATACCCGAACTATACCCGAAAAGGTCCCGAAGTCACGCCCCGATATCCTGGAGCCTCTATCTAACATATTTCATCCATCTAGGCTTCTGTTAATAATACTTTAGCTAATTTAATTTTATACCCTTCCCTACTACTGGCTTTCCAATGTGTCGTCTTGTCTCTTTGGTTTTCTTCGCTGTATTCGATATTCAGTCCGATGTACTTTTGCATATGTCCGGTGTCCGACATCCGAGTCCGATCTATGGAGTTGGGAGTACAAAGTAGGAAATACACGTGTAGACACCGCGATGCAGCTGCTCTGCTATTATTGAAGAAGAATGACCTTCCAGATGTAGTTAGTTTGGCACTAAATTGATGACTCGTGGTTCTCAATTATCCGGAACCGGAGTCTAACGGTGGAGGACGTCGAGGTACGTTGTGGAGTATCTACGAAGTATTCATGACGGAGTCCTCCGTACTCCGTACTCCGTACACATACATTTTCACGTGTTCTTTGCTCCGTTTCACCCGCTCATCAGCTCGATGCGTCAGTATGAGCGTAATAGGAACATCTAAAGAAAAGGAAAGGAAAGAAAAGAAAAGAAGAAGTAAAAAATTGGAAGCTCTCACACCATATCACGTCTTTTTGACCCCAGTTCGTCCCCGGCTCGCCCCCTGGCTCATTACCCAACATAGGCATGGGTGCACTTACACTACACCGTGCCACTTACGAACTAATAAAATAGTCGACATCATGCTTTTCGGCTCATTTGTAAAGGAAGTTCTCCGTCGTCAAACCCTTCTTATACGGCTTGACCCGGTTCCAATAATCCTTAATTTTCATCGTTAATTTTTTTGAAGGTCGAGTCTTGCGTCTCTGTCATGACTCCATATTTTATTCCGTTTGAACCATAACTATTCAAAGGAGGGCCGGGTCTCTCAAGCTCTCCACGGCAGAAAATGACAGCCCGCGACAATCGGGAGGCTGACTTGGATGAGAGACATGGCGGAGAATCATCAAGCACGGTAGCCGACACGATCACCTCCAGCTCAGGGGGAGAACAACGGCAACAGCAACAGCAACAGGAAAAGACCGACGAAGAAAATCCAGAACGCAACACACCAGAATCGCAGCCCACCCGAGACGGCCGAGACGACGCCCCTCATGACGACAACAACCACCCCGAAGACGACGAACCCGAAGCAGGCCGCACCCGTCTCGAGACCGCCCTCGTAGTCGGCTCCCTCTGCGCCGCCCTCTTCCTCGCCGCCCTGGACGTCACCATCATCGCCACCGCCGTGCCCACCATCTCGGAAGAGTTCCAGTCCAACCTGGGCTACATATGGATTGGCAGCAGCTACCTGCTGAGCAACGCCGCCTTCGTGCCCACCTGGGGCAAGATCTCCGACATCTTCGGCCGGAAACCCATCCTGCTGTGCGCCGTCGCCGTCTTCTGGGTCGGCTCGCTCCTCTGCGGAGTCGCCGTCGACATGCCCATGCTCATCGCCGCCCGCGCCGTCCAGGGTCTCGGCGGCGGCGGCATTATTGTTCTCGTCAACATCTGCATCAGCGACCTCTTCTCCATCCGCCAGCGCGGCGTCTATTTCGGCCTCGTCGGCATGGTCTGGGCCGTCGCCTCCGCCATCGGCCCCGTCCTCGGCGGCGTCTTCACCAGCCAGGCCACCTGGCGCTGGTGCTTCTACGTCAACCTCCCCATCTCCGGCCTCGGCCTCGTCGTCCTCTCCTTCGTCCTTAAGCTGCACAACCCGCGCACCCCGATCGCCGACGGCCTCAGGGCCATCGACTGGTCCGGCAGCCTCACCATCATCGGCGGCACCATCATGTTCCTCCTCGGCCTCGAGCTCGGCGGCGTCTCCTACCCCTGGCACTCCGCCACCGTCGTCTGTCTCATCGTCTTCGGCTTGGTCACCATCGCCCTCTTCGTCGCCAACGAGCACTTCCTCGCCGCCTACCCCGTCGTGCCCCTCCGCCTCTTCGCGACCCGCTCCAACCTCGCCGCCCTGACCACCACCTTCTGCCAGGCCTTCGTCTTCATCTCGGGGAGCTACTGGCTGCCGCTCTACTTCCAGGCCGTCCTCGCCGCCTCCTCCCTGCTGTCGGGCGTCTACATCCTCCCCTACGTCATCTCGCTCTCCCTCGTCTCCGCCGCCTCGGGCTTCGTCATCCGCAAGACGGGCAACTACTTCTACCTCATCGTCGCCGGCATGGCCATCACCACCCTCGGCTTCGGCCTCTTCGTCGACCTCCCCGCCTCCGACGACTTTGTCAAGATCGTCCTCTACCAGGTCGTCGCCGGCATCGGCATCGGCCCCAACTTCCAGTCCCCGCTCATCGCCCTCCAGACCAACGTCGAGCCGCGCGATATCGCCTCCGCCACCGCCACCTTCGGCTTCGTCCGCCAGATGGCCACTTCCATCTCCGTCGTGATTGGTGGCGTCGTCTTCAACAACCGCATGGACGCCCAGCGCCCGTACCTCGTTGCCGAGCTGGGGCCTGAGCTCGCCGAGAGGTTCTCGGGCGGGTCGGCGGCTTCGAGTGTCGGCTGGGTCGCTGGCCTGACGGGTCGTGAGGCCCGTGTCGCGCGGGGCGCCTACTTGGACAGCCTTCGGACGATGTATATCGTTTATGTCGCGTTTGCCGGGCTTGGCCTGGTGACGGGGCTGTTTGTTCGGCAGACGAGGTTGAGTAAGAGTCACAAGGAGCACCAGACCGGTCTCAAGTCTCTACGAGGCCGAGCTGAGAAAGACGGGGGTGGCGGGTAATGGTGCACTGTCTTTCCTCTCGTTGACATTCTTTTTCTCTTTCTTTTTTTATGCCATTATACGTATATATTTTCGACTTTCATACTTGTGTTATTGACACTCGCAAGGCGTTGTTTACGGGGCAGCATTGGAAGGGGGACAATACGGAGTAAGAAGCATCTCAGAAGCATCTCAGACGCCATAGTCGGCAATACATCATTAGCATCGCAACAATGCGAAAAGTATTTACAGTAATGGGACCTGTATTGGGACATGGTCAAATAATAGAAAATATCTTTTGAAGCACATTATAAAATGAATATGTCTTCCAAGTTCCTTTAACTTGCGTCACTCGGCCTCATATAGGGAGTCTTCATAAGGTAGGCTGTAGTGCTTAGAAAAAAGATCACAATCCCGAGTTTTTCTACAATCTTGCTTATTCCACTTCCAGTTTGCGGTAGATTTGCAATTTCATTCCGACTTCCTTGCGATTTGATTGTGTACTGATAACGCAGCATGTCACATAAAATGCGATATAGTGAGGGAGTTGGAACAGGGGCGTTGTCGTGTCCTTCGGCTTCAACACCTACTCCCAGAGACCAAGATAAAACAGGAAGCCGTAGCGGCAGGTGCAGACATCATAGAGAACCTCTCGTTCCATTGAAAGAGCATCTAGTACAAGAAGATCCTGCTTACTCCTGGCACAGGGACGCATCCTGCCGTCAGGTTCTCCAACATAATTCCAGGGGAACTCTCGATACTCGTGGCTCTGAGCGAGTGAGTTTATACGCAAATATCCCACGAGATGGGAGAAAACATCAATTCGAGCGCCCCGTTCTCGATGTCGGGGAAGACTGCCATTATCGCTGGCGCCGGCTCCGGTGCGTCTTACGCCCTTTCCATCGTTCCCCCCCCATTTTCTAGAGAAACCCTTCACGAAAACCAGCGCACTGCCAATTCCCAGGAATCAACCTCGCCTTCGCCGAGCTCCTCCTCTCCCGCAACTGCAACGTCCTCCTCGCCGACCTGTCTCGCGTGTCCCGGCGCGGGCGTCTACGAGCCCCACTGGTCCAACTGTGCGTATCAACGCCGTCGCGCCGGGCATCGTGCGCACGCCGCTGTGGACGGAGCACCCCGAGAAGAGCGTCAACCTCGACGCGGAGCGGGACGCCTGGATCACGCCCCAAGAGGTGGCGGAGGCGATGTTGGCGTGTGCCGAGAGTGAGAGTTATCTAAGCGGCTCGGTCGTCGAGGTGGGAAAGGAGTCAAGGACCATGTCCGCGTGGTGCAGACGGTCAACGATCCCGGCCCGGATCCGGATCCGTTCAAGGGGTTCATGTTGAGTAATACGGCCAAGGGGGAGAGATGTTGCGGGATTGGCTTGGTAGGGAGGACATCTGGCGCGGTAAGAAGGAGCAGAAAGGAGTAGAAGTAGCAGAAGTAGTACGGAAAGGAACTTATCTTCGGTGACTTCGGTGTACGATGCAGATACGGGTGGTGGTTGACGTCGTAGGGACTTTAGTCACGTGACGCATTTCGTTCCCGAAATCCCGTCGTAGTCGCCAAAGTTCCCGAGAAGACACGCTCCAAGACACTCAGAAGCGTTCCAGAATGCAGCCAGCTAATCACAGCGAAGGGTTTGCTCAGCGAGTCTCCCGGCCTGCAGCGGGAGCTCGAAAGCTCTCCCCACCCCCTCGGGCCCCCCAAGACACCACGACAGGGACGACCAGGCCACGTCTATCGTTTATTCCCCCTCGCCCTCAATCGTACGATCGTTTAGCCCATGATCGCCCTCACAACTGGGCAAAAGCAGCAGCGGTACCGACAAATCGACCGCCTTGATCCACGGACATCGGACATCGATCCAACACCATGGCGGGCTACCTCTTGCTCGCCATTCCGACGATCCTCGTCAGCTTGCTGTTCTCCCGGTCACCGTTCCTCATGTCTAGCTCACCAACGACGGGCGCAAACCCATGGGCCGACAGTCCCATGAAGCTGATCACGACACCTCAGTATGAGACCAACCAGGCATGTTTTGCATCCTGTCCTCTTGTGTTCCCCTCCCTTCATTTTTTTTTCATTTTTTCATCTTTTTTTTTCCATCTTTTTTTCATCTTTTTCGTTTTGCCGCCCCAAGACTAACCTTCCGGGTGTGATCGTCCAAACAGACCGACCTGTTCACGACGGGTGCCACACACATGGCCCTGCTGCATAACTCGATTCTGCGCGGATACAACTCCATCTACCACCAGGCACCCCATGTCCAGGACCAGGACAAGGCCGACTTTGTAGGATACGCCCTGACATGGCACAAGTTTGTCAAGTCGCACCACGACGATGAGGAGGAGAGACTCTTCGCCGAGATTGAGAAGCTGGTGGGCGACAAGACCGTTTTCGCCACGACCCACCGGGAGCATCGTACGGCCTGGGCCCCTGAACCCCCTTCCCTTTCCCTTGTCATTCGGAAACTGCGAGAAAGCTGACCACACATTACCCCCTTGTAGAGCACTTCCTCCCCGGCCTCGAAGACTTCCACGCCTACCTCGCCTCGCTGACCGACCCGGCGCAATTCTCCGGCGCCGAGCTGCGGCGCATCATGTCGACCTTCCAGCAGCCCTTCGAGGTGCACTTCCACTCGGAGATCGCCACGCTGGCGGGGCTGGCGAGCCACCCGAACGCGCCGCGCGAGGGGACGGCGGAGGCGGCGATGGCGAGGGCCGTGTTCAAGAGCTGGGGGAAGAGCACGGTGTCCAGGGCGGGCACGGCGGACGTGGTGCCGTTCTTCCTGATGAACCTGGACCGCGGGGTCGAGGGGGGGATGTGGGCCAACTGGCCGCCCATGCCGGCGCCGATTCGGTGGGGGCTCGCCAATGTCGCCGGGGCGTGGTATGGGGGTCGGTGGAGGTTTGCGAGCTGTGATGCGCAGGGAAGGTCGAGGGAGTTGTATGCTTTGGAGTCTCCTGCGTCGGGCAGTTGATTTGGCTGGCCGAATTGCATGGCTGCATGGATGTTCTCCATTGCTAGCGTGAGGGTAAGCCGACGAGTGAACTATTTTTTGTTTGCTTCTACTCTCGATGTGTGAAGCAACCCAGAGGATGGCACATGGAAGGGTCTTGGGAAGAAAATAATGTTCAAGCACAGCGTCAGTCTTCCCTATGAGAGGACCATGGGCAGAGAGAAAGAAGGGAAAGAAGAGGAAGCAAGCGATGGGGCGACCAAAGGGGTACCTGCTTTCGCATGCCATGGGAGAAGTCACCTGATCCAACGTCTCTCAGCAAATGTCTCCAGTACTCCGGACCTCTTCCCAAGGTTATGTGGCTTCAGCATGGTTTGTCTTTTGCAAGTCTTCGGCTCAATGTGACGAAAATAATGCTCGCCGCAGGAAACTCCCGCGCCTAGCCCATTTGATGTGGTTTGAACGCAATATCAACCGAGAGTAATCCCCCCTATATTTTGTGTATTCCTTCCTCTCGGCCCTCTTCTCATGACCCGGCATTACTATCGGTCAATATGACGGATATCGACGACATTCACCAAGGCCACGACATCAATTATGAATACGACGATACGCATGAGGAGGATTGCACCCTTACTGCAAGTCCCATCTTCGATCTTCCATCCACTCCCTTTTTCCTGCTCCTTCTCTCTAACAGATAGCCGGCACGTAGGCCTTATGGAACTGGCATACCACCGACTCGTGTTTTATTTCCCACTCTTGGCAGGTCCGCTCGCCCGGGCAGTTCGCCGGCTAGTGCGTCGGCGCCGCCGTTCTTGCCATGGCCTTCGAAGGGCTACGTCGCGCCAGCACAGAACTCGACTGCGTCCTCCTCCAAGCACACGTTTCGCGGTGCGAGCGAGAACGCGACGCTTTAAGGTTGAGGGCGTTGGAAGAGGATGGTGGTGGAAGCAGAAGTGGCAGGAGTAACAGGAGTGGCAGGAGCCGTAGGAGTGTTCCCCGCGGTAACGGCGGCAACGGCGGTGACGATGGCGGCCATACATCCTTCGCGGCCGGATCGGCGGACAACGACGTGGAGTTGGATTTTATGGCGCTGAACCCGAGGCCTGGGGATGGTGGTCGGAGGATTGCTTTGGATCTCGAACGCTGTTACGAGTATCGCGGCTTCCCTCCCTATCGTCCCAGCTTCATCGTACAATTGGGGAGAACCGTGCTGCACACGCTGCGGATCATATCAGCGTACTTCTTGGTACTGTGAGTTTTTGCCCTTTCATTCTGCGTCACTGCAGCCATGTCGTTCTCTCTTCTCTTCCCTGCTTCGTCGCTGACCGGCGTGCCGCGTGCGGACGTACAGCTTGTCAATGTACTACAACGGCTACATCATCCTCTGCATATTTGCCGGAGCCTTCCTCGGGCATTTCATGTTCCACTGGGAAAAGGTCAGCAGCGTGACCGATCGAAACCCTGCAGAAGACGACCCCGACACAACGACGGACCGACGGCGGCAAGACCACGCCCCTAACCACGCGGTCCACGCCAATAAGCAACGGGGAAGGGCGAAGAAGAGACGGAGGGGTTTCTAGAGGAAGTTCCCTCGAAATCGCCGGGAAGACCTGGGGGAGAGGCCAGGAGGCACACCGAGAAGTACAGAAGAGGCGGCTCAGGATAGACGACAAGAATGAAACAACAGCGTCAAGACCAAGGTTAGACCAATAGGTTTTCGGGTTCCAATTCTCCGACCTGAGTAACGGGCATGGCAGACAAGGCTTTGCTTTTCATTGTTTTGGATGTTTGTCATCCTGCTGTTCTACTCATCATTTATATATAGGTAGTTTAACTAGCATGTGTGAAGAATGGATGGACGAATGAATACATGGCACTTGGTGAGACAACCTCGGTGAGGAGTGAGAGAAGTAGAGGTACCGAAGAGAAGTGAGGCGGCAGGCCAGCGCCCAGTGTTCACCGACTCCACATTCCTTAAGGTACATACCTGATATAAGGTACGGTATCTAGGTACATAAAGGTACAAGGGGGGGGGAGGGTGGGGTGGGTTTTGACAGACCACTGACCACCTTCACGCGAAAGGCAGGAAGGAAGGACCAAGCCAATGCGCGCCTTCTCCTAACACCAACACCAACACCAACACCAACACCAACACCAACGCAATCAGCTCATCACCACATCGCGACCCCCGCAATCCGCTCATCCTTTTCTCTTCTCTTTGCCTCTTTACCCCCTCCACTTAATCGTAATTTCTATTGTTTCGACATGTTAGGGACGCCCATGGCGGTGTTCCCGCAAATACCCCATCGTCATCATGTATAGCCGCGATAACAAGATTATGCGCAAGCTGCTGGGCAAAACCACCCCCGAAAACACCACCGACACCTCCAATCCCGGCCTCGGCATTACCAGCTCTCCATCTCTCCCGGCCATCTATCGCCCAAATTCCTCTCAATACACCGTCTATAATGCGGGCTATCCTCTTGCCAGCGTCGACGCCTCACCCGATCGTCGCTCGGCCGTCCTCGCCAGTCGCCATGTCCTCAAGACCGTCGTCTTCGATGGCCTCCAAATCTCCGACAGCATTGACGTTCGTGCCGCCATCCTCGCCGCCGCCGGCTCCGACAAGATGCCACCCATGACCTCCTCGACCGCCGCCAACCTATCCTTACATTCCTCCTCATCGCCTGCCGTGTCCGCCCCAGGCTCGGCAGCCGATCAGCTCTCCGTCAAGGAGGCCAAATGGCAAGGCGAAGCCAACCTATTTACCGCCTGTGCCAACGGTCGCATCTTCGCCTACGATCTCGCCCGTATCGCCACCGGTGGTTCCGCCCTCGACTGTGTTCACATGCGGGAGGACTCGCGCCAAGTCAATACCCTCGACGTCAACCCGCATCGTCCCAGCCTCCTCCTCTCCGGCAGCCAGGACGGCTTCGTCCGCTACTTTGACATTCGCGCCCCCGTACCGAACCGCGCCGGCGGCATGTCCTACGTCGCCAAGGCCGCCTTCAAGTGCAATGCCGACGGCGTTCGCCAGGTCCGCTGGTCCCCCAAAGAAGGCCTCTACCTCGCCTGCGCCACCGACGCCGGTGCCGTCCTCAAGTGGGACATTCGCAAGCCGAACTCCCCCCTGCTGCGCATCACCGCCCACGACAAGGCCTGTTCCTCCATCTCGTGGCATCCCGACGGCAACCACCTCATAAGCGGCGGCTGGGATCACAAATGCGCCGTCTGGGATCTGTCCAAAGACGCCGATAAGCGTCAGAAGCCGAAATATATCCTCCACACCCCGGCCCCCGTATCCGTCGTGGCTTGGCGCCCCGCTCTGTGGTCCGCCAGCGCCAGAGGCAGGCGAGCCGCCCAGGTGGCCGTCTCCTACGACGATGCGAGCGCCAGGCGCTTCGGCATCAACGCCGTCCATATTTGGGACCTCGCCCGGCCGAGCGTGCCTTTCAAGGAGCTGACCTGGTTCGACTCGCCCCCCTCGAGCCTCTTATGGCTCGATCAGGATCTTCTCTGGGCCGTCGGCGAAGAGGGCAAGTTTCACCAGTGCGACGTCGCCTTCGCCCCCAAGGTCATCGACCGCCTATCCCCCTCCAGCCTGGCCTTCTCCGGCAGGGGCGAGGTAGCCATGTTCCTCGACGAACGACCCCGCCAGCGGCCCCGCCCAGCCGTCGTCCGCCATCACGATGACGAAGCCGTCCCCAGGCATCTGTACGGCTCGAGCCCGACCACGCCATTCCTCAGCATCAGCCGTAGCGACTCGGAGGACGACGTCGTCAGCAGCTTCATCATGCCGCGCCGAAAAATCGGTGCCAGGCGGCGAAGACAGAGCATACGCTCCGCGCTCCCGGCTCTCAGCACGACCCCGCCTTCCGGCCACGTCCCCGGTGAAGAACCAGTCCTCGGGCTAGAACAGGCCATCAAGTTCGCCGGCGTCTTCAGGACCCAGCAGGCCATGGCTGTGGGTCATGTGCCGGCCGCTGCCAAAGTCGACAACTACCAGTATCTTACGCGATGCTACCTCGAGGCCCTGGAAAGGGAGCTTCCGCAGGGCGGGCCCGACGGGAAACCGCTTGTCGAACGAGTGTCGGTCGTCCTCGAAAGCTTCGCCCGGGCAGCCGAACGAGTCGGACAGTTCCGGCTCGCCCAGACTTGGCGGATATTGGGCTATGCCATGGACCTGTTGCTCAGGAAACGAGCGCAGTACCACCTCGAGTCGAGGCTTGGACGCTTTCAAAAGCGCGTCGACATTTCCAAGTCCAAAGAATCGATAGGGCCCAGCGAGCTCAATAGGCTGGAAACAACACCAACCCCGCTGGCGAACCACGAGAGCACCATCGACAGTCACGACAGGACCAGACGATCCAAACTGTCGGAGGAGGTCGACTGCAACTCCAACGCTTCCACGCCCCTGGCCAAGCCCCTCGGGCAGGAAGACGGCCAGCAGAACAACAGCGACGGCAAGCACGTCAACAGCCTGCGATCCGGCAAAGTGCTGACGCCCGTCTTGGAGGCGGAGAGCTTCATCCTACCGCCCGCGGTCCATCGTACGTTCAATGATAGTCCGCGGAAACGACTGGACTCGATACCTTTCTCCGCCGCCAGCCACGAGAGTGACCAGACTCGCATCTCGAGCACCGAGGGCTACGATTTTTATGACACTGACGCCATTTCTCACGCCATAGATGTTCCCGATCCCAAACCGAAACCGACACTCCCGGCTGCCGCCTTGGAGTACGACGACCACCACGACAACGACAACGACCACGACCACGACCACGACCAGCAGCAAAAGCGCCATCATCACTTTGCGCACCAGAAGCCCCCGATCATGTCGCGCTACGATTCCGACGAAAGCTTTTCACGCGTCTTCTCCGCACCGGACAGCACCCCACGGACCGCGACGACCATTCTCAGCCCGTCCAAGTTTCCGCCTGTGCAAGAAGGCGACGACGACGAAGAGCAAGGCGAGTACGAAAGCCGAATACGTGGGAAGGAGATGGGTCATTCGCTCGAACACCCTAGGCCGTCGTCGTCGTCGCCGACAATGCATGCACACAAGCGGCGGCAAAGCCTGATCCCCACCGAATCTCCCGAAGACGTCTTCACCATCTCCCAGACGACCATAGCCAGCGACCCGAACGTCTCGTTCGATGCATCGCAACCTTCCCAGGGGACGGCCGACACTTATGAGCACCACGCTCCTCTTCACGTCGGCGTCGTCTCATCCAGCCCGGCCAAGGCCAGTCTGGAATCGCAGTCGCAGCTGCAAGCGTCACAGCAGCTCAACGTCTCCTCGCCAACCATGGTGGAATCCGACTACCTCCCCTGGCCCGACGATCCTCCTCACCCACACCCACTCTCCACATCAACACCGCCCCCGGTGCCTTACTCTGTCTCTCCTCGCCTGCCGCTCGATCCTTACAACCTTGTCACCCGCACCCTCGACTATGAACTCCGCACCTCCGTCGTCAACGCGGCCGCAATCATCCTCCTCCTCCGACCGCTTCTCCCCCCTTCTCTCATCGACAAAAACCGCGCCGTCTCCATCCTTCGCACCCACCACAGCCGGCTCACGTCGATGCGACTCTTCGTGGAAGCGGCCCTGCTACGCAACCTCTGCGTCAAAGGCTGGCCTGAAGGTCTCCCCGATTGGGGCGAACAGTATACCGCCATCTTCGGACCCGCGCAGCAGAACGTCAAGGGTGGTCTTCTCTGCCCGACCTGCCGTAAACCCCGCGAGATCGACCCCCGGCTCGGACCCAGCGCCCTTTGGCAATGCGATCGGTGCAAGACACACATGGGCCCCTGCGCTGTTTGCGGCCATCGCGAGGCCAGCGCCGCCGCCGCCGCCGCTGCCCCCGTGCTCACCATCGCAGAAGCCGTGGACCAGGAGAGGAAGAAGGAAGAGAAGAGGAAGGAAGAGGGGCGAGACACGGACGAAGAGGGCGAAGGCGTTATGAGCGTCTGGTGGTACTGTCCGGGGTGTGCGCACGGGGGCCATGCCACGTGCATCCAAACGTGGCATAATCCCGACGGCATGGACGAGAGAGGCAACGACGGGCATGGGAGTGACGGGTGCTGTCCCCTCGACGGATGTGGCCACGCGTGTCTCCCCGGGAAATGGAGCGAGGAAAGCGCGACGCAACGAGCCGATGAGGTCGGACGCGCGGCGCTCGAAAGGGCACGGACAGCTACGGGCGGGACTTTTACACCGCGGAAAGTGAATGGAGGAGGAGGAGGTGGTGGTGGTGGCGGTGGTGGTGGTGAAGGTGCGGGCTACCACGCTCACCAGCCTCATCACCCTTCCCCGCTGATCCGCGGAGACGGCTTCGAAGTGCCGCAGAGCAGGGCGGTCGACGTGGTGCGCGAGGCACTGACGGGCAATGGTGGCGGCGGGGGGTCGTCGGTGTCGTCGTACGGTAACGTCACGGGGGCTCCTGGAATCTTGAGTTCCAGCCCGGGGCGGACGGCCGGCAATGGCGAGCGGGAGAGACGGAAGAGCGTCAAATTCGCCCACACGGAACGGTAGAGCTTGTTTGCTGTGAAGCGATGGAGGCGACCTCCCGGATGATTTGCATGGGTGGCGCGATGTTTCGCTTGAGGGAGACGGAACTCGTGGTTCGCTCGTTTTGCGCTGTAGACGAGTGGATGAGCATTTGACGACTAGATGGCATGAACAAATGCGTGTGGCTTCAGCGGGCGGACGACGGATGGTCATATTGCATTGTACTACTATTACTTGCTACTACCCCAGGGAGGGGGGATGATGGATGATTGCTGAGACGGCTTTTCGAGGCATACGGCGCCATGGTCAACAGGGTTATTCAGCTTGGGAGGAGGGTTGTTGGGATTTGGCTTTCGGGACTTGGGTGATGCCTGTAATTCGTCCTCCTTTCTTCTTTCGTCTCTCATGCCCAGCCGTGGGTCAAACAGGGATAGCAATAGGGACAAGGAGGGCCAACGATCATGTCTTATTCTGTCAGATATAACGACGCAGGACACTGGAAAGTGACAATAGAAGCTCGTCCTGACGACTGTGAGGGTTCTTGCGCTGGATTTGTGTCGCTCGCTTCGACTCCGCAAACTGTAATGGGGGTATCTCCTCAATATTCAATACTGCTCCCGTCGCATAGAAGGGAATGCGAAAGCCGTCTTCCGCCTGCATCATCATCACCAGTATGCCTTTTTTTCTTTTTTTCTTTTTTTTTCTTCTCCCCTTCAACCGCCGACATTCTCGCGAAACCCCTTCGTCCGCAACGAAACCTTCATATCCGCCTCGTCAAACCCGAACCCAGCCACCCCAGAATCAGCCTCAGCCCCCGAAGCCGAAACAGTAGTACCACCCCCCCTTCCAGGGCCCCGCCCCCCCGTCTCGCCATTCGGACTCCCCCGTCGACTCGCCCCCGCGCTACTACTCCCATCCACACTGGGATCATCATCCCTCACGGGATCAGGCAGGGGAAGACGACCGTGCAGCCGCCCGGCCCAAAGCCCGCGCACGCCGCCGCGCTTGCGCTGCGGGACCTCGTCGGAGCCCGCGCTGCAGATGTAGAGGAGGTATTTCAGGTTGGGGAGGGTGTGGCGGATGTCGACGACGCGGAGGGCCTGCGAGGCACAGAGGGATTCGACGTCCTTGTTGAGGAGGAACCAGGCGTAGTCGAAGCGGAAGTGGGCGGCTGTCGACCCGCCGCGGGGGAGGTAGAGGGGGAAGTCGCGGGCGGGGTGGTTCGAACCGGCGGAGGAGGAGGAGGAGGAGGAGGAGGAGGCGGAGGATGGGTATGAGTATGGGTATGGGTATGTCCCGGGGGGGAGGAGCGGGCGGCGAGTGGCGGCGTAGGAGGAGGCGATGGAGGAGGTGGCGCTGGTGCTGCTGGTGCTGGTGCTGGACTTGCTGGACCGCGGGGTGTCGGCGAGGAGGGAAATGTCGTCGCGGATGTTGGACCGCGAGCCATAAGGGACGATGGGGTATGGGAGCGGCACGGAGAGGTAGAATTGCAGGTGGTGGGTGAGGAGGGCGACGTAGCCGAGGGCGGCGGAAATGCGGTCGTCGTCGGCGGGTCTGGACGAGGCGGAATCGTAGGTCGTGTTTGGGAGGGGCAGGCCGCATATGTCGAAGGAGAGCACGGCGCCCGAGGGAGACGGGGTGATGGGGAAGATGGAGGACAAGTCGCCGCAGATGCGACGGCGCTGGCCGCGGATCTGCTGCTGGGTGGCGGCGAGCAGGGCCTTCGCGTCGGCGAGCTTCTCGCGGGCGTTGGAAATGTCCGTCTCGGCCTTCGTCTGGGCTTCGCGGCCGGCGGCGATGGCTTCCCGCCTGGCCTGGAGCGAGGCTTGCAGTTCGTCGCGTTTCCTGCGGGCGGCTTTCAGGCTCCGGGTGACCTGGGCTATGTATTTGTGGCCCAGCTTGACTTTCTCCTGGGCCATCGGGGCTTCGTCTTTGGGTTGCTTTTCGAGAATGTCGTTGATTTGCGCGGTGACCTGCTCTTGCGTGGCTAGGGCGTCTTGGATGGAGGCGTCGAGGGTCGCCAACTTCATGAGCGAGTTGTACGACGACGTGAGGAGGGTCGGGCCCTCTCGCGGCCGGGGAGACTTCCCCGGGAGGTCGAGGGAGTATACTCCGTCGTGGAGGTGGAAGATGAGGGCATTCGGCGGGAGCCGTTGACCGGCCAGGGTGCCGAGGAAGTTGAGGGACCGTAGGTCGACGATGGCTTCCTGGTGGAGGAACCAGTCTTGATGGCCGACGGGTCGTCTCGCCCAGACTTTGACTGTGAGTGTCGATGCTCGGGTGACTACGCCCCCATGGTGGGAGAGGTCGAAGAAGAGAAAGTTGAAGTTCTAGCGTTGTATCTTATGGATCAGCCATGAGAGAGTATGGGGAGAGAAAGGGAACCAATTCGTGTAACAGAAACGTGACGAAGATGGGTAAAAACAAACGTACACTACGCCTCTCCAACGTCTCGCTGATATAGATAGGCTCCTCCTCTCCCTCGGCATGCAGAGAGAAGAAAGCATCGGCCATTTTACTGTCAAAGAAGGCTTCGAGCTTCTTCTGCTCCGACTCGGGGCTCTCCTTGTCCTGGTGCCAAGCGGTGGTGGTGCTCCTTCGTCGTGCCATGGGACGCAGGCTCTCGGTGGATTGCGAGTGCTGGAGCTTCGGGCCATCGCCGAGGGCGTCGAGCAGTTTCTTCTTGGTCGGCGACGCTGTGAGGGAGGCATCAGAGTCGTCGGCGGTTCGGCCTCTCGACGGGACGAAGCTCAGGTGGCGCAGGAAGATGCCCTGGAGGTGACGGAGCCTGCGGTTCTGTGGGAGCAGTAGCGGGGTGGTGCGCGGTTCGGACGGCATGGCTCATTGTGGGAGATGCGATATATCAAGAGCGGTCTGTGTTGGGTGTAATGTAGTCAGAATTGGTGATGTCGAAGGTCGAAGGGAGACGCAGCTCGGAGCTCGAATCGAGGCTCAATCCATTGACGAACGATACGGAGTACGTACTCACGTTGACAGCGATAAGATAAGTTCGTGGCTAACGCACCGATAGCACGGTACGTACCTTCAGGTGAGCTACCTTATCTTATCCTTATAACCCCACAGCTCGGTGTACCATCCTCACCTCGGTGTGTCCCTGTGCGATGCTCACCATGACTCCGTCACACCTTTTCGAATAGTTTGAAAGACTGCCAGTAAGGAGGCAACAAGAATGGTAGCGAGCTGTACGTCTTAAGCGCCTTTCGTTTTTATTATTATTCATAGACATAAAACTTCAAAAAATAGTATCATCAGACGCCATATATGGACATATATATACATGTAAATCCCACGCTCTTATCCCAAGCATCTGTCCAACATGCGTCCCATGCTATCCATACATGCAAAAATAGTAAGGCAGGGAGGAATCCAGCCCAAGAGTCGTAAAATCTAGAATATCCTCGTAATGCTGGGCCTCACCCACCCAACCACATCACACGTCCTCGCCGAGCGCCAGGCAGCAATCCTCTCGCTCGCCCATCCGCTCATATACGCGCCGCCCCCCTGGCCGTTTTCGTCGGGTCTGTCAGCGGCCCGAGGGAAACCGTGCCGGATGGAGCGTATGAGTCGGCACTTGCCCCCGTGCCAGTTCCACTGGAAGCATTCCGGGTTCTGGCCGCACGCCACGCCGCATGCTTCGAACGAGTCCACCGTTTCGGGGGCTTCCCATGCTTTGGGGTCGCTGTTGTCCCAGTCGGCGCGTGTCTCGATTTGGCCGGGGTGGTAGAACTGGTACAGGTCGCGGTAGAGAAGAGGTTTCTAGAGGGGTGGGCCATGTCCGGATTAGCCTACTGCTCAGGAAGAAAAAGAAGAGAAAAGAAAGAAGAGCCAAGAAGAGCAAGAGAGAAAAGAAGAAGAAAAAAGAAAGAAAAAACTTACATGCTGCTGCCGGTTGATATGCTCCCACCGCCACAACTCCATCATGTCTTCCGGCTTCGTTTTATGCAGCGTCAGCACGGGCTGGCACCAGTGGTCCTCGTCAAAGCCCACGGCGTGGAGCGGGTCCGGGTTGAACAAGGGCCAAAATCCGACAAGAGGCACCCCCGCGGTCCAAAGGGCCCAGCCGAGGACGGAGTCGCCGCAGCAGTCAATATCAAGCAGGTCAGGCCAGCGATGACTCTGCGGAGCCTCCAGGAAATCCCCCTGCTCGCCGACCTTGCGGGCGAGGAAGCGTCGCATCGCGCCCCGGCTGAGGACGAAGCCGGGCCCCCCGTTGGCGAACCAGGTGACGTGGTCGGTATCCGGCACGGTGCGGCCGGGGCTGGGGCTGCCGATGTAGAGCGGTGCGTCCGGGTCCAGGTTGGCGAGGAAGCGGAACGTGTTGTCCCACGAGACGTAGGTGTCGGTCTCGTAGAAGACGTACCAGTCGCGGTGCGGGCGCATGGCCCAGGCGCGCTCGACCATGGGGAGGAACTTGTACTTGTCGATGGCCCAGCCGCGGATGGCGGCGGTGGCGGCGTCGTCGACGTCGAGGGTGCCGGCGTCGCGCAGCTGGCGCATGTAGGTGTAGTTGCCGAAGTCGGCGTGGCGGGCGTACGCGGCGGGCAGGTCGGCGAGGACGTCGTAGGCGGAGCGGTTCCCCGGGAAGTCGTGCTCGTCGAGGTCGGAGAAGATGAGGAGGTCCTCCAGGCAGGCGGAGGCGCTGGCGAGCTGGGCTTCCAGGGGGGGTTTGCCGACGTCGGCGTGGCCGATCTTGAGGACGGGCTGGATCGACTGCTGTAGTAGGTGGTGCGGGAACGAGGGGCAGAGGTCGTCGGCGGTCTTGCCCTTGGCGTACATCCTGACCGGGTGGAACAGGCTCGTGGTGTCCCAGGGGTAGAACTCGGGCCGGCCGGGGCCGTCGTCGTAGGGGGGTGGAGGGGTCAGCGGAGGGGGGTTCTCCTCGGTATGGCGGGCGAAGAAGAGGAGGTATAGGATCATGAGGAAGGTGAGGACGCCGGTGGTGAGGGCGGCGAGGGGGAGATGACGCTGGAGCTGGCGGCGGTAGACGTGGAAGGCCCTCGGGCGCCAGGAGGCCGACGTGCCGGGGCCATCGTCAAAGATGGGACGGGTGCGGTGGGAGGGAACGGAGCCATGCATCGGGACGGACGGGAAGCGATCAGGCCGAATGGTAAGATGACGGAACGGCACCGACCTCGACCACTACACTTCTCGACGTCAATGCTGGTTTCTCGGTTGGGGAATGCTGAGAGGAGTGGCCGTGTCGTTCTGTTCGGCAGGTTCGGGATTCGGTCTCGGGACTCGTGAGTAGTCGAAGGTGGGAGCAGAAGCTAGAGGCAATAAAGCTAGCGCATTACGTCGCGGGAATATAATGATAAATGAGCGCATTTCGCGGCTCTGCGATGGTGATGGTGATGGTGATGATGCCAAGAAAGGTGTTGCGTTACCATCACGAGCTCTGGTGAAAGTCGTGATTGGTGGAGGAAGGTGTTGCGGTTTTCCATGTCATGCCCAGCCCCCAAGGCTAAGAATCCAAAAGGATCTAAGACAGGACAGGAACACACCAGGGTCGTTGCGGGTGGTTGTGTTTCCCAGGCTGACCGGAGCCCAAAAGGCTTGAGTGCGTCCTGGCTGTGCTGTGCTGACAGAGGAAAAAGCTTTCAGGGTCACGGTGGATCTGGGGTGGATGTGGGTCGCCGTGGCAGAGTCAAGGCCCGCCATTGGATGGAAGTACACTGTGGGCACTGTGGGACCTGAAACGGATTTCGATAGCTTATGAGACTAATCCTATTCGGGTAAGGCCGCGGTAGACAACCTTTCCGTAACGGAAAAAGTGGTCTGAGCTGGTACATTCCGTGCAACCATACGATTTGTGGGTGGACATGTATTAATGACTTCATGCGAGCTCGTTGTTTGGTTCCACTTACAGGGCGTGCAACGGTACGAGGAGGGGCTACTATCAAGTTCCTCTCGAGGTCTCAAGACCTGACGCTGCAAGGCGGACGATGCAGTCTTTTCAGATTGTCAAGAAATGCACTACAACAACTACAAAATGAAGGAGAGAAACGAAAGGAGAAAAAAAAATAGGAAAAAAAAGAAGAAAAAAGAAGAAAAAAGAAGAAAAGAAGAAAAGAAGAAAAGAAGAAAAGAAGAAAAAAAAAAGAAGAAAAAAGAAGAAAAAAGAAGAAAAGAAGAAAAGAAGAAAAGAAGAAAAGAAGAAAAGAAGAAAAGAAGAAAAGAAGAAAAGAAGAAAAGAAGAAAAGAAAAAAAGAAATATGACAAGGTCCAACCAGGAATCGAACCTGGACCCTGGGAATCAGAATCCCATGTCCTAACCATTAGACTATTGGACCATTTCTGATGTCGTCATGCATAATGTCCCTTCTTGTGGCCTGTGCGTCCGTCGACTGCTCTGTGCTTTGCGTGTTTCGTGCCAAAATACGCGTATGGTACGGACCCACTTAACGAAAATGGGGGCTCCGTGAGGCTTGGGCCGTATCTTATCAATTCCTCCGCGGCAGTGTCACTGTGTCTCAACCGTGAATCCCTTCATATACGCGGGAAACAAAACATCTATAAAATATCCATTGCTCTGCATTGTGGCCCATTATGACTACCAACGCAGCATCTCTCCATCGCGGTTTAAAAGCCCATCACATCTATCCCGTGTCATCACCGACTTGAACTTGCAATACCCCGTATCCATAATCCATTGCCATCCCAGGACTTCATCCCTTGGTCTATAATCTCATTCATAACCTCTAATCCGCCTCCTATCTCATATATATCTTCCTATATCCGCTCTCCCTCAATCAAACACAGCTATGGACCTCCTATCAGGCTCAAGCCAAGACCAGCCCGTCTACGAGGTCCTTCGCATCAACAAGCGCAAAGGCACCACCACAACCACCATAGACCGCACCGACCCGTCCACCGGCCACAGCTACCCGATCTACATGGTCTTCTACATGCAAGACCAAAACCTCCTCGAGCTGCGCCACGCCGACCCCCGCCTGCAGAACCCGGACTGCACCCCGCTCGCCGCCGTCAAGTTCCACTCCCTCTCCTCCAAGCTCGACCTCACCCTCCGCGGCCACCCCTTCCGCATGGCCCGCCCCCACCTCCTGTCCGGCAGCCACGCTTTCCGCTACGGCCCCGCCGCGCCCGAGCTCAAGTGGAAGGAGCGCTCCGAGTTTAGCAGCGACCTCGTCCTGGTCGATGGGTGGGGCGTAATGCTCGCCCGGTATAGGAGGAAGGTCAGGGACGGGTACGGGTACAAGGGGCCCGGGTTTGAGCTCTTTGTGCCGCCGCATGTGATTGATCTTGATTTGGTTGTCGCTACGGGTATGGCTGCCTCTAGGTACCATAAACGTGAGGAGGAGGTGGTTGTGGCGGCTGTTGGCGAGGCTGTGAGCAGCGCTGAGTGAGATGTTGGGAAGGGGGGGGATGGTGTTCCGATATATACTTGGGAAAAAGGAGCACAGCAATTTTGAGCTTCCGAGTCGCGATGGGAGTGCAGCGACTACAGAGGAATACATATTAATTTGCACTACGAAACACGGTGTACACGATCTCATGGCACCACGACACAATTTACAAGATATCAGAGTTCGCCCCCTCCTTTCAGCTACACCCACCCCACTCCTACCAAGGCAACAACCCAGGAAGCCCAGCCTTGGCCAACTCCGCATTCACCTCCCTCTCGGTAACATCCCACAACCCAGCAACCTGCTCCGCATTCCTCTCGACAGGGTGCAACTCCCTCACCCGCCCCACGGGGTCCATATACCGGCCCTTAAACGCCTCGGCGCGCGACCGGACCTCCGGCGCCGCGGCCGCGAAAAGCGAGTTGGCAGCCCCCTGGTCGACCGTCGACGCGAGGCGACGCAGGATCGCGTCCATCCAGCCGGGCCACGTCGACTGCAGCGCGCGCGTGTAGACGGTGCCGGGGGCGGCGGCGAGGGCGAGGACGCGGAGGCCGCGGGCGTCGAGGCGGCGCTGCAGCTCGCGCGTGAAGAGGACCTGGGCGGTCTTGGCCATGGCGTAGGTCACCATGTCGGTGCGGAAGAGGTGGCGGCTGAGGTAGCGCCAGGTCCAGGGGAAGTAGGGCACGGGGCGGCGCAGGGCGGCGGGCGAATTGAAGCCGAATTCGTATGATGCGGGGAGGAAGACATTGCCGGCTATGGAGGAGACGCTGACGATGCGGACGTCGGAGGTTGGGTCGGAGGCGGCGGCTTCGAGGAGGGGGAGCAGGAGGTTGGTCAAGGTGAAGTGGCCGACGTGGCTGTTTTCCGCGTTAGCGGGTTGTTCAATGGTTGACGATGAAATATCCGGGAGGGAATGGATAGAAGTAGCGAGGCCTTACGATACGGCGATTTGCAATTCCCACCCAGTGGCGGGCACTTCTCCGGAGCCTATGGCGGTGGCATTATTGACTACGAGTTGGCATGACATGTCAGTAATTCCCTTTCATAAAATACAAAAGAAAACTTCAGAACTAGCCAAAAGGACATGGAGTCATACTCAAGACGTCCAGTCGGTTCTCGGCAGCTTTAAGTGCGTCGGCAGCCGCCACTATGGACTTCAGATCCGCCAAGTCGAGGAGAAGGTGATGAAGCTGGTCCTCGCCGATGGAAGGGTTCTCTTTCCGCAGCTCCTCGATAACCTCCCGGGTGCGCGACTCGGACCGCGTAGCGAGGTAGACCTTGGCGCCGCGCAGGGCCAGGAACTTGACGGTCGCTCGACCGATGCCGGAACTTTGTAAATCGCCGTCTTAGCAACGGCCGACCGGCTTGGCAAGTGGATACTCGGGGCCGGGGCGGCCGGGGCGGGGCGGGAACGAGCTGGAAATTCGAAAGGCGGACTCACTTGCTACCGGTCACAACGGCGACCTTGCCGCTGAGATCATGAGTTTGGGTCAACGGATCCCACGTTGTTGGTGTCCAGCTATTTGACATAGTAACAGGAGAGAAGGGAGGTTATTATATGACCTGCTATGGTATGAAGTAAGAGTGAAAAACTGAAAATGAAAAAGAGTCTCGTCTTGGCCCTCTTGGGTTATTTACTTGCAGCAGAGCGTTGGAAAAGGTAAAGCCGTACCACCGTCCCCGGGCATATCTGTACCTATATATATTGTACCTTACTTCACTCCCATCACACAATTGTATCCATATTCGTCCTCATTCCGCGTACCACCATACGAGGTACGTAAGAGGTAACTGCAGGTAGAGGTACCTTACAGTTAGTAAGGTACCTACCTTAGGTAGGTAGTACAGGTACAGAATACGAAGTGACTACCTTAGGTACCGGGGAGAAGGCGGGGTGTAGGTTATAGCTCGAATGGAGGATTTTGGCCTGGCCAGAGTCAGGACAGAACTATTTCTGTCAATATAATGTTCTAAGACTGTCGACAGACTGACCAGTCATCGGGCTCTGACCTACAAGCCCCCAAACGGTAAACCCGGGTAGGTAATCCTGCCGCTGACAAATTGATAAAGTACTTCGTAAACTTGATTAAGATACTAGCTCATCCGTAAAGTAAGGGGAGGTAAGGTAGTCAATATTGGGTACAGACTCTACACTGGGTAGGTAGTTCACGATAAGTCTTACGAAGCCGAGTTGCCTCTGGTAAATTGGTAATCACAGCGGAGAGTAACATGTACAACGTTCGAAGTACATTGTACGCTATTCCTCATGCAGAAAATGCTCATCTTGGCCTTGATAGTGGAGATCTCAATCTCCACATCCGAATCATGTTCCTATTGGCAGATGCAGATGCGTCTAACCACATTGAGACTAACGCATCCCGCCCGTCTCCTGCAGGACGATGTAGGATCCATCAATGTCACTCGGAAGCCTCCATGTATCATGTGATTATCATGTTCCCTCCAATGCCTCCATCCTTCGCCAGTCCTGTCCGTCTATCTTATGAACGCACCGAGGATATAAAGAGCCTCTCATCTTCTGGGCATTTGCTGAATTAGGACAATGCTCGTCTGCGATTCTCGTCCCAACACTCAAAAGTTCCAAAACTCCAAAGCTCCAACATAGCAGCCAGCCATGTCCACCTCCTCTTTCCAGTTCGTCCACATCTCCAAGCCCGCCGACGCCGCCAACCACCGCAAGCAAATCCGCTCTCATGCTGCGCGTAACTCCAAGGCGCGTCGCGAGAGAGTCGTCCAGTACCAGGTCCAGCTCCGCCAGGAAGATTCGCGACGCAAACCCGGTCCCCCTTCACCCTTGACGTCCGAGTCCGAGTCATCCTCCGGGTCTTCGTCGTCGTCGTCTTCGTCGTCTGAGCTGTATTCTACCGTGCAGACCCCGGCAACCCCGGCAACCTCTGCCACCGCCGACGGTGCTGCAGATCCCCCCTGGCCTCTTATTCCCATATACCCTGCTCGTCGCGGCTCCCCGAGTCCGATATCCCTCCTCGACCCGGCCAGCCAAGATCCCTTCCACAGCTTCTCCCAACCCCTCTCACCCTTTGAGGGCTTCCTCTTGAACCACTGTAAGCTCTCGACCACCCACCGGACGTCTTTTTGGGTCTGTGCTACTTTTGAACTGACAGATTTGTTCCCACAAGTTGCCAAGCATGTCACTCTCAATGAGCTGTCCGCCTTCCCTTGCCCCGACAGTACTGGTGTAAGCCCGGTCGTATTTGGCCGCAACACCGGTGTCTCGTGGACCCAGACCGCCGCTTCCGACTACGGCATGCGCGCCATGATCTTCTTAATCTCCTGCCGCAGCCTTTCTTCGCTCCAGCACTCCGATGTTTACGACTCGCAGGCCCTACGGTACAAGGCTGTCTGTCTCCGCCAGCTGAATTCCATTATTGCCCAGGAACGTGATACTGTGGGCGATATGACCATCATTAAGGCGCTGGCCTTGGCATCTGAAGAGGTGAGCCTTCATATGATGTCCTCTTTCTTTTCTTTTCTTTTCCCCCACTTGGTTGCCTTTCCTAGGCGCCCGGAGAGCACAGTTAATCGATACCCTTTGCTAGTTCTTCGCCGGCAACAAGAAAATCGCCGACAAGCACCTGCAAGCCGTCGTCAAGATGGTCCGAATCCGAGGCCAGCCCGTCAATGTTGGCATGTGGAAACACAGCGAAAACCAGCACCTCTGGTCGCACTGGAAACAGGTCCTGGCAGGCTGGAGCTCCAACAGCATCTGCCTCCTGCGTGTCGTCTTCGGCGACGCCATTGCCGGCATGGACTACGCGAACCCTCCCCACCTAGACGGCCCCATCAATCCGTCCTACGACATGCGCGGTTCCACATTCCGCCGGATGACCGCTCACGACGGAGGCCTAAGGTCGATTATTTGACGAGGCGAAGAAAGCAGAGTGCGAAACTTGGTGCTACTTTCGGCGAAGAAGCATAAAAGCCACTTTTGGCTACGGGTTCTATTCAAAACAAACGTTTGTTCTGTCCTATTCTCCTCCATGTCTCCCATCCCCGTCGAATGGTGTCTTCCTTTTTTCTTTCTTCTTTTTTTCCTTCCCAGCAACCCGCGTCCCTCACGCCCCCTCGACGGACTGCGGATAATAGAACCGGTCATTCGGATCCACTTCGGCCTTGATACGCTGCAGCCTCTCCAGGTTGGCGGCGTAGTACTGCAGCTGCGCCTGGTCCCGGCTGAGCTCGGGGTCGACGTAGTTGATGTATCGCCCCCAGTCCTCGCAGGCCAGGTTGTCCTTGAGGCTGTCGGCGAAGCCCTGCACGAAGGGGACGGTCTCCCGGAAGCCGGTGGAGAACTGGAACAGCCAGAGCTTGTCGCGGTGCGCGTACGAGGACTCGGTGGGCGACACGGCGGTGACGGCCGAGTTGGCCCCGCCGTAGGCGTCCATCTGGAGCCAGAAGCTGCTGCTCCGGCTGCGAGCGACGAACCAGTAGTCGACGAACGACTCCATGGCCTCTTGGGGGATGTGCTTGGTGAGGAGGCTAGTGACGTACATGTTGTCGAACTGTTTCGGTCGGATGGTCAGTTACGGGAAAGGAAAAGGGGGGGGGGGAAGGAGGGAGGAAGAGAAAAAAAAAGCCCCCATCGAAGGGAAACGAAACAAGGAAAAGGGAATACGCACCGCATTATACGGGTACGACTGGTCCAGCCTCTCCCCATTCGCATACGCCGTCATCTGCGCGATCCAATCACCCGTCCCCACCCTATTAAAGAACGAGTTCCAGTTGAGTCTCAGCGGCTCCTCCAGCGGCGCAATGGCGGCCCTTGCATCGTCCTCGTTGCCGTGGTACAAGATCTCCAGCCGCGCGCCGCCCGAGCTGATGAACATGCGCATGTTCATCTCGCGCGGCATGTCGTTCTCAACGTAGTCCTGCCAGGCCAGCAGGCCCTCGACGGCGGCCTCGGCCGTGGTCAGGCCCGTGTCGATGGTCATCCAGGTCAGCTCGGGCGGGGCCTCGAAGGTGTCGACCTCGAAGTCGACCACGATGCCGAAGGAGGAGCCGGCGCCGCGAATCGCCCAGAAGAGGTCCGCGTTCTCGGAGGCCGAGGCGTGCACTAGGGTGCCGTTGTCCAGGACCACGTCGGCGCCGATGACCCAGTCGGAGGCGAGGCCGTGGGTGTAGGAGCTCATGCCAAAGCCGCCGTGGACTGCGTGGCCTCCCATGCCGACGCTGTTTGGTGGTTGTTAGTATTGGGGGCAAGAAGGGGGAAAAAAAGAAGAAAAAAGAAGAAGAAGAAGAAGAAAAAGGGAAAGGGGAAGTCAAAGGGAGAAGGGCAGAGGACAGGGAGGAAAGAAGAAGAAAGCAAACAGCAACACAAGGGCCTGCCTCACCCTGGACAAGTTCCGTGCGAGATCCCCCTCCCACCCTGCTCAAACAGCTCCAAGGCCACGCGACCCAGCCTCGTCCCCGCCTTGATGGTAGCAGTGTTATCATCATGCAAAGTAACGCCGGGCATCCGGTCCAGCTGCACGACCACATGGCCATCCTCGCCGCCCATGCCGTAGTTCGCATAATTGTGGCCGCCGCTCTTCACCGACACCTTGAGGTCGTTCTCGGCGGCGCACCGCACGGCGTCCTGCACGTGCTGCGTCTCGGTGGCGTAGATGACGGCGCTGGGCGTCACGCCGGGGATGCGGCGGTTGTAGGGCTGGATGACGGTGGTCCAGTCGGCCGAGTCGGCGTCGAAGTAGGGCACCGAGGCGGCGGCGAGGCAGTCGGTTACCGCGGCGAGGGCCGAGCCCGCGTGGGCCGCTGCCAGGGCGGCGGACATGCCTAAAGCGGTGGGTTTCATCTTTGGAAGTTGAATTGTTTATACGAACCGTTAGGCGATGGCAGAGAGAACAGCCTCGGGGTTTTACGGAGGCGCCGAGGGGGTGTATTACCATACAGCTAACGGGTTCGACGTCGTTCGAGACGAGACGACAGGAGAACCAGGGGCTGATTCTTTTCTGGCGCGGGCCAGATCAGACCAGCCTAATATATACACACACATCAAGGTTCCATATTGCCCGACTGGGTCAATTTCATGTTGAAAGGGCCTAAGACGATCGGTGGGGGCCGTGGGGCCAACCAAGGATCGAAGGTAAACTCTATTAGAGAAACTGTTATTAAGACGGTACGCCGAAACCCACTTATCAGAATATAAATAAGGTACTCTATATATCTGATATAATATGGTTTGTTATACCTTGATAGGGTGGCTATAGGTATCTAATATACACCCCTAGAATAGTAGGATTGATTCTAACTATCCCGCTTGCTGAATTGAAGCTTAAAATCCAGGGTAAAATAGGCCTAGATATTAAACAACGGCGGTTATAACAAGGCCTATAATAGATAAGTGTGGATACATAGGAACAAGGTACTCCACACGTCTAACACAATATGGGTTTATCACACCTCGATAAGGTGGCTATAGGCATCTGACACCACTACTCGTTGCAAAAGACAAGCCCACGCTCGGCCCGTAGAGCCTAAAGTGCGATAAATGGGACCACTACCACGACGGTGCGGTCTTGGCAAGTATGAATATCAGGGGTAACCGCGGGGAGATTTTCAGTAAGTCGCGCACTTATAGGGAGCACCTAGAAGGGCTTGGGCAAGGGGGGTGGAAGACGGAAGTTTTGGAGACGCATGTAGTATTCGGCAAAAGAGCTCGACTGGACCCAAAAAATGACGAGGGGCGGAACCAATATAAACGGCACGTTTCAGGAAAACCTGATTTTCCAACTAAGCAAGTCGAGTCGCAGATCTCCGTCATCCCGTCTGTTGCCTCGTCCGCCCCCCGGGGGGGGGGGGGGGGGGGGGAGGGTTTACACGTGTACGCTGTGGAATATGTAAAGCCCGGGTCGAACAAGTACCGGACGCTTCGGGCCACGGCGGGCGAGCTACCGAAGCGGCTTCTCGGTAATTTAGCCGCAGATATCGGGTTGCATGAAGATCCACGAGAAGCAAGTCGTTTTGGTCAAAGGGTGGGCAGACGTCCGTCGTCGTCCTTATTGGGTCACTATCATCATCATCCGCATTAGGACGGTTGCGAAAGGATAGTGATGCCTTTGCCGGCACATGTAGTCGAAACTGCCGGATGGCGGGATGAGTTGCATTCGTGCTGGAAGCGTGGTAGTTTGGGCAGGGGTAAAGCTGGTTCAACCGTTTCGCCTGAGCGTTTGAACCGAATTCTTGGGAAGTGAATGATGTGGAGATGGATTCAATAAGACGTCTTATAAACTTCTCTTGATAGTTCTGGGATTTGTTTAATACTGACGGAGTCTTCCTAAGTACGAAGAGGCATTATCCAAGCTTGCTACTCCCTGAAGAAGAGATAATTTCCTGGAGGGCAGTTTGTCGACTTGTAGAGATATGGAAGCATCACTTTACGAGGCAGACCTCGGCAGAATTGGCTGATCAGGGGTCAAGACACCAAGACGGTTATTTTACGAGTGTGGGGGGCAGTGGAGCTACCCCGCGCCCATTATCGGCAAATCTGTTCCAACCAACCACACGGAAATGAAACCTGTCTTTATAAGGTGAGTTGACACTGTTTGCCCAACAGCAACACAAGGCAAGATGGCCGAGTTGGTCTAAGGCGCTAGCTTCAGGTGCTAGTCTAGTAATAGGCGTGGGTTCGAATCCCACTCTTGTCAATAACCTGAAATCCTCCGAGAAGGTTCTCTTTTTGGACTTTTTCTATGTTAGACATAGTCGGGTCTGTTTTTCGTTGTCTTACCTTCTTATACACCTTCGAAACGCCGTGGATTTTATAATTAAACTTTTTGTATTCTACTTTTCCGAAATAGAACGAACCACTTTAGTATTATCCATAGACACGACTAATAAAGAGCTTACTATGCCTAATAGACAGAGGCAAGTTATTAATACATAGGCGCTTTATAAGCCAGGGAAATCCGAGTCATTTTACCTATAGCATAACTACAAGTCCTTATCACAGATAAGATCATTAAAGGGATTCTAAAATACTATAGTTTCTTGAGAATTCTTGTCTACTTAGGTAGCCACAAAAGCCAGGAGATGCACCCCATCCTCGTGTATACATGGATGTATTATCTCACCCCATCATTCTCACCCTCACTCACCATGCACTGCACCTCCACATATCGCAGCTCTCCAAGGCCAGCGACAACAAGGCAAAGGGGAAAACAGGGCATATCCCATCCACGTCCATAAGAGTCGGAAGAAAGTGGACTAACCACAAGGGTAACCGCAGGTCTGGTCTAGTAAAGCCACCCAGTCACCCTACCCTTCCCTTCCCTTTCTCTTTTTGTTTCCCCTGCCCTATAATTGGAAGACAAACTCCACAGGTCCAAATGCCCGTGTAAAGCTTTGTCTCGTCTTTGGTGTTTCTTATTATACTTTTACATGTCATTATGTATTTTGGTCAACAATGGACCAGTCTGAAAATAAAATGAAGGAAAGAAAAAAAGGTTAACGACGTGCGCGCTCGGCAGCAGCAGCACTCAGGTTGGTCGATGATCCGGCCTTCCCGGTAGCATTCGTCATGGCAAGGCCGGCAGGTGCCGCAGCTCCATTGGGAGCCGGTGTATTGGTTCTCGTGGCAGGCTGGGACCGGTTATGCTGCATGTGGGCCTTCACCAAGTGGCCGGCCGCCAGGGCACTGCACAGAGACAGCTCACCGGCAAGCGTGGCAGCAGCAACGATGCGGGCAAGTCGTCGGGCGTTTTCGCCGGGTTGCGTGGGATGCGAGCCGCGAACGCCGAGCATATCGAGCATGGCGCTCTGAGGCTCAAGAATGGTACCGCCACCGAGGGTGCCCACTTCGATGGAGGGCATCGAGACGGAGATCTGGAGGGAGCCGCGGAGACTGAAAAAGAAAATGGTTAGTAAAAAAAGAAAAAAGAAAAAAAAGTAGAAATGACAATGACGGGGAGGAACGTGGACTCACTTCTTCATAATGGTGATACAGTTGGAGCTCTCAATCACCTGGGCCGGGTCCTGACCCGTGGCAATGAAAATGGCAGCCACAATGTTGGCGGCGTGGGCATTAAAGCCACCCACCGAAGCCGCCATGGCCGATCCGATCAGGTTCTTGGCAATGTTGAGTTCGACCAGGCTGTCGACATCGCTCTTCAGCACGCTGCGCACCACCTCCGCCGGGATGATAGCCTCGGCGACGACGCTCTTGCCGCGGCCGTCGATCCAGTTGATGGCAGCCGCCTTCTTGTCCGTGCAGTAATTGCCCGACACCGACACGATGTTCATGTCCTCGAAGCCGCACTCGTTCATCATCACGTCCAGCGCGTTCTCCACGCCCTTGGAAATCATGTTCATGCCCATGGCGTCGCCCGTCGTCGCCTTGAACCGGATGTACAGGTTGGTGCCGGCGAGCGCCGTCTTCATCTGCACGAGACGCGCATAGTTGCTGGTCGAGTTGAACGCCTTCTTCATCCTGGCCTGGCCCGCGTCCGAATCGAGCCACATCTTGGCCGCGCCGGCCCGCTCCAGCGTGTCGAAGCTCAGGCAAGGCCCGCGCGTCATGCCGTCGTTGGTCAGCACCGTGATGACGCCGCCCCCCGAGTTGATGGCCTTGCAGCCGCGGCTGGCGCTGGCCACGAGCACGCCCTCGGTCGTGGCCATGGGGATGAAGTAGCTCTGGCCGTCGATGACGAGCGGGCCGGCCACGCCGACGGGCAGGGGCATGTAGCCGATGACGTTCTCGCAGCACGCTCCGAAGACGCGTTCCCAGTTGTAGTTCTCGTACGGCAGCTTCGACCGGTCGAGCTTGCTGGTCAAGCCCTCGGTGGCTTTGGTCTTGGCAATGATGGAGCGGCGCACCTTGACGGCGCGCGTAAAGTCCTTGAGCGTACGCTCGAGGGAGTAACCGGGGATCTTGCCGCGCAGGGACATGGCCACCACCTCGTCGTCGTTCATCTCATGCGCCCGCTTCTCGGCCACCATCTTGTCCAACTCGGCAAACGAACGCGGTGCCGAAAGCGTCGACGACTCGGACGACTCGGACGACTCTGCCGCAGCCTGCACCGGTCGCATCGTGAGCGGGTCCGACTCGTCGTCGGTCGAGGCCGGCGTGACGGGACTGGAGGCGCTCGCCGGGGGAGGGATGTACTCGCCGAGAGGCAGGGTGGCAGTGCTGGTGTCGTTGAAGTTCTGGGCGCGTGCCAGCTCGTCGCGGTCAATCTGATGATCCGGCAGGTTGGGATCCTTAATCCCCCAGCGAGCGACGTTGAACAGGTAACCGTTGAAGGCGACGCTCAGGGCGAGAGCGACAACGATCCACTTGGAGAGGACGGGGTCCTCCAGGCTCGTCAGAATGCTGCCGACGACACTGCCGCCCATGCCGTAGCCGTCCAGGTTGCCATCGCCGTCGCCAGAAATGCCTGCACCCGTCTTGGAGGACCGACTGGGAAGCCCGTAGTGCACCGAAGGGAACTCTAGTTCGTACTTGATGGGCGTGAGGATGGTAACGATGGTAGGCCGGCTGTTGGCCTTGGCAGACCCGAGGATGGCGTCAAGGCCGTTGGCGGCGACCTTGAAAGGGTCGACGGGGGATGGCGTGACCATGGAGCTCAGACCATCCGTCCAGGACAAGGTGTTAGCATTCCGGAACGGGATGGTGCAGATGTTGACGAGGTTAATCAGAACGAAGCCGGTGACCATGAGGACCTTGAACTTGGGCACGTTCCTGCTCTTCTGCTTGCCGAAGAGGGACGAAGACTCCTTTTCTTTGCCGTCGGCATCGTTGCCATTGTCGGAAGCCTCGCTGCTCTTGGCGACGTTCTCGGCCACGCGGCGGCTCACGCCATCGTCCTCCAGGGCTCGTCGCATGTCGACGTAGCGCTTGATGCGGTTGATCTCGAGCTTGATGCAGAGGATGGCGGTGTAGAAGGAGAAGAGGAGGACCCCGTCGAAGAAGAGGATCCACGCGGCAAGGAAGCAGAAGTGCTGCAGGCCGCCCTGAACGCCCGAGGCGGCGCCGAAGATGAGGATGGAGATCTCCATGACGTAGTCCTTGATGATCTCGTAGCCCTTCTCCTTGATGGCGGCCTGGACGGCGTACTGGACGACGCTGGAAGGCGACGCGGCCGAGCTCTTGCTGGACTTGCTGCCGCCGTTCCTCTTTGCGGCCTCGCGGCGGCGGTGCTCGATGGCGTGGCTCAGGACGGCGCGGGTGAGGGCGATGTTCTTCTCGAAGCCAATGGTGACGACGAGAAAAGGCAGGCCCTCGGAGAGCAGGACCATGTTGATGGGGACGCCGAGCTTGGTGGTGACGATGAGGCCGAACAGGAAAGCAAAGACGGAGGAGAGGAGGACGTTGATGAAGAGCCAGAAATTCGAGCCCATGCGGCGCATGGAGAGGAAGAGAGAGACAAAGGTGAGGTGCATGGAGAGGTAGCCCAGGGCCATGATGAAAATGTCAAGCATCTCAGCGTTCTTCAGGAGGTCGATGAATTCGGACCAAGCGTTGCTCACCCAGTGGATGTAACTGTTGCGGGTGTTGACCTTGGCCGCTTTCATGATCCACATCTTGGACTCCTGACCGTGGGGGGTCTCGCGGAGCTCCGAGTCGTCGGAGTCGTCGACGTTGGGGATCTCCTGGATAGAGGCCACAAGCTCGGGGGCCTCGGCATAGGAAACAGCGAAAGCCAGGGCCGTGTCCTGAGAATAGCTAGCCAGCGAATTGGAGGTGGGCGGCAGCTGAGTGATGGAGGTGTTCGGAGCGAAGGGGATGGCTTGCGCACGCGGAGCCGTGTTGGCCGACTCGGGGGACTGGGACTCGGGAAAGACGAGGGTCAGGAGGGCGAGGTGGTCGTAGGCAGCCTGAGCAGAAGAGGTGTCCTGGAGCTTCTTGTGGTGTTCAACGGTCTGCCAACGCCAAGAGGAATCGGGCCCCGTCTTTAGACAACGGCTTCCCTCGATGAGGGAAGACCAGTCCGCAGAGCGGACAGTAATGGTGGCATCGAACAAGCTCTCCTGCAGCAGACCGACGTAGGAAGAACTGGCCAGAACGGCAACGATGACAACGGTATGGATAGGATGGGAGCAAGCGAGGCGGGAGAAGAACTGGAGGATGGGAGTGATGCGTTTCCCAAACCAAGTCGGTGTAGGTTGCGGGGTGGCGGGTTGCTCGCCCCGGAAGCGCGCGGGGAAGAAGGACGAGGAAATCATGTTGAGGGTGTTGATTAGGGAGTTGCTTCTTCGTTTACGACGACATTGGGGATCGAGATACGATCGGGGAAGTCGGATGAAAGAGGATTCGGAGGAGGTATCTAGAATGGCAACGTAAATCAGTGAATGATGTTCTACCCGAGCCCAGGGGAAGTCCCGGGAAGGCAAGCAAGCGCAGAAGTAGCAAGGCAGAAGTATCAAGTGCAGAAGTAGCAAGTGCAGAAGTAGCAAATGCAACAGACGATGCAAGATAGGCAGAGGGGCAGGATTGTGTGGTACATACCAGCTTGCGGATGCGGATGATCCGGCAATGGATGATGTCAATGAGTATGGTATTCGCACTCGTGCTTGTTTGATACCGGAGATATATCCGGAGTGACCGACTCTCGGCAGAAGAATGTGGGCAATTAAGGAGAATTAAGAGGGGAAAAGTAAAAGAAGGAAAGAAAGAAGCGGTGGAAGGAAGTATGCAAAGTGGCCTTGGGTGGCAATGCAATTGGTAGGCGTGAGGTTTGTGGGATAGAAATCCAAGACCGCTGGCAGCCCCAACGCAGATGCAATTGGGTCGAATAAGGGCGGTCAAGAATGGGCGATGACGAAGATGACGACTTTTGATGCCCTTTGATGGACGATCAAAATCTCGACCAGGGACGAGAGGTAAGAAAGCGAGGCGCGCAAAAGCACTGTGATCGATCTTCCACGGGTTGTTGATGGTGGAGAGAAAGAAAGGAGGTGGCCTAGTAGGAAGCGATGGGGAAAAGCGTCCCTGGTAGGAAAAACTAATCGATCCAGATAAAGGAGGAAGGGGCAAAAAGAGGCCAAGGGGTAGTAGGTAAGGCAGGAAGGAGCATAAAGGTTGTGCAAAGACGGCTATGCAGGACCATTCGTCCAACCGGTTGGTAGTGTTGGGCTGTGATTCTGTGGGTGTGGAGAGGAAAAAAAGATAAGGCTAGGTGATCCACTGATAAAATAAGTGGGAAGGTGCAGTGAAGAAAAGAAAAAAAAGGAAAGAAGAAAAAGGAGGGGAAATCACAGTACAAAGCGGGTACCTATCTTAGGAGGCAGGAAGCCCCCGGCTGGTTGCCCAGCTAGTGGCCTCCCGCCGCCGAGGAGGAAGGAACGAAATTTTGGAACGCGACCGACCGCGTACCACCATTACCTATTACCTTAGGTACACGGTGGTCAGTGCGCCTGACCGTGCTGATAGTCAGTCACATCAGTGAACAATTACGTCTGGTACCTGCATATTCTATGCTGTGCTGCCAGTCTAGAAGGTACTCCACTCCGTACCATGGAGGCTGGAGACATGCGCAACGCTCGATCAAACACTCGTAAGATCCCAAAATACTCAGGCTCAAAAGGCTGCCACACCTCCGCCTCATACTTGACATGTGGCTCTTTTAGCAGAAGCCCATCTCCTCATTCTGTCGGATGCCGTGTATAGTCGACATTGACATAGTGCTCTGTGGAAGTGCTGTGGTCTCCGTCCTGTGACTCGGAGATCCTCGGTAAAGTCCTGTTTTCCCGACAAGCCTCGGGGAGGACAATGGAATAGGTCGGGCATTCGGAGGGATTCGTCTGGCATTGTTCTTGACCACGACTGTAGGGACTGATACGGTGATTCGTCCAAAAGATTCATCAGGTCCGTTTCCCACGCCAGCAACGCAGGGAGAGTTTGTTGGACAGAAAGTACGGAGAAGGGGAATACATAAAGAGAAAGATGGAGAATACCCGAGTCACAAGGCAGGGAGAAGAAGTTATCCCGGATTTTTTAATAGTGTCCAACGTAAGCTGACCATCGAAGACTGTACTCCGTCACTGCTAGTGATTATCGTGGACCTGGGTAAGGGGAGATGCGACTATTGATCGCAATTCCTGAATACTTCTCCGTGAGGCGAATCGTCCTCACGTGGTAAAATGTATATTCTAATTCGAATGTCATGAAATTATCGTAGTACATCATCTAGAACAGCAGCATCGACTCAAATATAACCAACGGCAAGTGCTATTCGTAGCTACGGAGGGTCACTGTAATCATTCACTCTTCACGCGGTCCTCATCGCCAGTGATATAAATATCAGATATAAACATCAGATATAAACAAGTCAACAATTTCCAAAATCAGACCCTCATTCGTTCAGTTTCCGTCATTATCCACGTCATTAGATCCATATGAATGCCCGTCCTTCACATCTCGCAAGCGCCCTGACCCTCTCCACCTCCGGCCCCTCAAACCTCACGACCTGAACGCCCGCCACAGCCAACTCAGCCTTCACCCGGTCCCAAGCAGCAGGGTCAACACACCTCGTCCCCTCCTCGACAACCACAGTCCGGAACCCCTCGGCCGCCGCATCGATCGCAGAGCACTTGACACAGTAGTCGCCCGCCAACCCCACCACAAAAACATCCGTGACGCCCGCCCCGCGCAGCCTTTCCGCGAGCCCCGAATCCGCCACGCGCCCCGGGTCCTCAAACGGGCCGTAGAAAGCGCTGTACATCTCGATATCCGGCCTCGTGCCCTTCGCCACCACGGCGTCGAGCAGGTCGGCCTCCAGCTCGGGGATCAGCGCCGCGCCGGGCGTGTCCTGCACGCAGTGCGCCGGCCAGAGGCGCGACTCGAGCTTCTCGGCCGAGTTGTGCGGGTTGGCGATGGTGGTGGTGGACAGGAAGGGTGAGGCGCCCGGGTGGTTCGTCGCGAAGGAGACGTGGGAGGCTGGGTGCCAGTCCTTGGTGGCGATCTTGGTCGCGAACGGGAGCTTGAGGAGGGAGTTGACTACCGGGGCGATGGCCCGGCCGTCTGGTACTGCGAGAGAGCCGTTCTGTTGCGGGGTGAGACGGAGGGGAGGAGTTTTATGTTAGTAACGCAAGGGTGTTTTCGGGGGAGTCGGGGGAGTCGGGGAGCCGCGTGAGACAGAAGGAGTGGGTGTACGTGACACTACGTGACACTACAGGATGTACGACGTAGGTACGTAAGGGCAGCGAAGTAAAAAGTGGCAGGCTGACGTACCGGAGGGCAGAAATCCTCTTGAAAGTCGACCACGAGAAGGGCCGGCTTGAAATTGTCCTCACCCATGGTCAGGTTTGTGCGCCTTGAATTATACGAATTTGGTGAGAATGATATTGTTTCGGGCATAAGAGCGAAAGAGAAGAGCGGATAATGGAAAAGTGATAACTATGATAATCTCATACCGCCACGCCTATGTGGTGTGGTGTCCATAACCTCGAGGTAAGTGAAGTTCCGGGCTCATCCAATGAGGTGCCAGTACTCCGTATTCCGGGCCAGTTTGTGCATTCTTACTGGTTTAAGATGGTCTGACTCAGATCCTCACCGAGCTTCACTTGTACGAATACCCTCCAAAATACAAGGCTATATCGAGACGGAGGTCGACTTTACGGAGTACTCGGTCACCATGCCTTATATCCACCCCCCAGGTAGTATCAGTGCAGGTACACCCAAGCCCCGACTCGGAAGTCGACGTACTTCGTATTATCCAGTCCAGCCCCCAACGCCACCATCGCAACTACAGTCTACAACCACCACAACCACGGATAATGGGACCTAACCTACCCCCTGGACCACCCCCTAGACCACCCCCTATTTCCCCTCGCTTTTGTGGGAAGAGCATTGGTACTCATTAGCCCAAGCGTGGCATGATGTACAGCTTCAGCCTTCCATCGACAGCCCGCAAGCCACGGGTCTACGTCTACCTTATCGACGTCGTCACCGAATATTTTCATCTACGAAAAGAAACGACCTCAACACGAGTGTGAAGACGAGGGAACCATGGCGAATGAAAAATGCATGGTTTAAAACCATGTGACAAAATGTCGGTCATTAAAATATGATACATATAGGCAGGCCTTCGGGTGATTCCACGCGCCATCTGGCACATCATCCAAGAGAAAACAAAAAAAGCAACCACCACCTGTTTCTTGCCGCCGCCCCTTTTTTATTTTTATTTATTTTTATTTTTATTTTCCCCAATTATTTACTGGCCTGGCAGCTTGTCTTTGTCCTTGCCCTGGTGAAGTGTCGTCGCAACCTTGTCAGTCATGTGGACGTCCATGTCGGGCATCATCACGGCGCAGAAGATAGCCACGACCGAGAAGGCAATGTTGGTCAGGAAAACGGTGCGGTACGCGTCGTTGCTGGCCACCTGGTACGCCCGCATGCCGGTGGCCAGGATCGAGTCCGTCAGCCCAGCGACGCCCCCGAACGACCCGGTCGTGAGGGCCGCCATAAAGTCGGCCACGCTGCCCTCGGGCAGGCCGGCGGCCACCAGCGCGCCGGGCACCTGGGCGGGGACCTCGACGGCCAGGCGGTTCGACAGCACCACGCTGTACACGGTGGCGGCGATGCTGCTGATGAGGAAGCGGATGCTGCCGGCGACGCCGCTGGCGCTGCCGAGCTGGGCCTGGTCGGGCGCGCACAGGGTGACGATGGTGATGGCGGTGCCCTCGCCCCAGCCGGCCATGAAGGCGCCCACGCCGACGAGGGCGGAGGCGCGCACGGGGGTGTCGGGCCCGCAGGTGGCGATGGTGGCGAAGGCGATGCCGCCGATGGTGAAGGTCACGACGCACTGCCACTTGAGGTAGCCGATCAGCTTGCCGAGGAAGCCGCCGACGATCTGGCCGGCGACCATGAAGAGCGAGACGATGGAGGCGAGCCAGGCGGTGTAGAAGGTCGAGTGGCCCTCGGTGGTGTACATGACGGCCACCATGCTGGGCCACACGATGGCGAAGGCGTAGTAGACGCTGGCGCCGAGACCCGTCAGCACGGTGGAGGCGACCCAGGGCAGGTGGCGGAAGTAGCGCATGCGCACGAGCGGCTCGGACAGCCTGGCGTAGCACTCCCAGAGGACGAAGACGACGAGGGCGACGAAGCCGACGACGATGGTGGCGATGACGTTGGCCGAGTCCCAGGCGTAGACGCCGCCGCCCCAGTTGAGGCCCATCATGAAGATGAGGAGACCGCCGGTGTAGAAGGCGGTGCCGACGTAGTCGAAGCGGCGCATGTAGTCCCAGAACTTGGCGCCGCCGCCGTGCTTCATCTCGAAGGTGGGCGGGTGGTAGAAGAAGAACCAGCAGAAGAGACTGGCCGCGTTGATGGCCGTGTTGAGGTAGAAGAGCCCGCGCCAGCCGACGTTGGGGTGGTTCTGCAGGAAGGCCTGCGCGAGGATGGGCGCGATGCCCGACCCGGGGATGCAGAACAGGTAGCAGAAGCCGTTACCGGCGAGGCGGTACTTCATGGGCACCAGCTCGCCCATGACGTAGAAGTAGGACAGCTGGGTGGCGGCGGCGACACCGATGATGGTCATACCGCCGATGAGCATGGGAACGTTGGTGGCGACGGAGCAGATGATGCAGCCGAGGACACCGAGGGCGGCACCACCAACGAAAATCCATCGGCGTCCGAAGATGTCACTGAGGCGGCCGATGATTGTGAGAGTGACGGCACTGGTAAGGGTGTAGACGAGGGCGACCCAGACGATGTTGGGGTCCTGGAAACGAATTGTTAGTGGTGTTGTAGCGCAATAGGGAGGGAGTTGGGGGGAGGGGGGAATAAAGGAGAAAGCTCACCGGACCAATATCCGCATTGATGATGCCGAGAATAGGGGCAGCAAAACCAAAGCCAGCAACACCTGCCATGAGACCGAGACCAATGCCCAACATGGTACCGATGAAGAATCGGCTCTTGAAGTAGCCCTCGGGAAGGGAATCTTCATCGGTGACGAATTGGTTGCTGTCGGTGCTCGACTTGTCGGAGATCTTGTCGATCCTCTCCTCGTGGCCCTTTTCCGGGTCGACGGCGCCAGGGCCGTCTCGCGAGACCGGCTTCGACATGACTGCTGCAAGTGTTCGATGGTCAAATCGTACAAGGGTCGGTGATGAGTTGTCGATGTGAGGAAGAAAGGGCGAAGAGACAGCTCAGCTCACAGCACGTAGACTGAGATGTGATCTGATCCTGAACCTCTTCTGGCCGTGGCGGGGAGGGGTGGGAGTCGTATATCTATATACAAGTTGAAGAAGGCCGGGAGCAAGACAGCTCTACTCCAAAGGAGGATCAGGCGATCAGGGGACCGCCGAAGTCGCCCTCTCGACCGGCGGACGCGAGCCATTGACCCTCACTTTTGCAGCTTGGGCAAGATGGCAAAGTGCAATGAATCAGTAGCGGGCAGCTCGTTTTTTTGGCACTAGAGCACGGCCTCGACGGCAGACATTTTCCGAGATCTAAGCGAATGGTCAAGACTCAGCTCTTCCCCACGGGGCTTTGGCGTAGCGTCGGATCTCCGCAACGATCCATTGGGGCTGCAGGAGCCAAACGGCAGTCCCCGTCGAGACCATGCATGCATGCAATGGAAATGACGGTTTTGTTAGAGTTTTCGTCTTGTTTCCCAGCAGATGGGTTCGGCCTAAGGGATCCAGGGACCTTGCCGTGTGTTGTCGACGCTTGGCAAAGATGCTCAGAGCTGTAGCTACTCGCGAGTCTAGGCTTCTGGTTGGTCGATCATTGAGGGAGCGAGCTGTCCATAACTTCGTATCACTAGCCTCTGTACGGTGTACCCAGCATAACTAGAGTGCGCCACCGCATTTTGTTTGTTGTTCTTGGTATTGTGGAAAATAGCGCCAGATCTGGGGGGCCCTGGGGGCAATTTTCCGCTGACTCTTTGGCGGCTGGCCCACGATGATGTGGAGTAATCCGGGGTATGGGGTACGCTACAGCACCCAATATTGATAGGCATTTTGAGAAGCTATCGCGACTGGAAAGAAGAACCATCTTCGCCCCCGGCTGGAAAAAGGGAAAAAAGGCATTCCCAGAAATGGGGACTGTGGCGGGCGAGAGACAGCAGGTATGGAGTAGGTAGACTAGGGTACAGTAGTAGCGGCACAAAGAAGATGAGAGGGTGGAGGCCACGTGATGCTTACTTGACGTGTCGCGTAATGTACAAACTACGCGAAGTTTGCGGTACCTTATTAATGACTAAGGTACCTTAGGTAACTTGCGAAGGCCTAAGGTATACACTAGGACGGGTACCTAATTCCATCGCATCGTGCATCGTGCTGCCGTACGTAAAAGTACCTTGCCGCAACCTTAAGCTCTCAAGCCCAAGCCCTTGACCAAGTGAAGAACATTGTACAACCTACGTCCTGCTTATGCTATCAGTATAGTCCAGCGTCAAGACCCAAAAACCATTCGAAGGTGAAACCTGGGTGTGTGGCCAAGACTCTGATCGTACACGGTACACGTACTAATTACAGAGTAGACTAGAGGACCGGCGCCTCTGGGCCCATTTTAGATGGTCAAGGTTGGACTTGTTCACGGAATTTCTTGCCTATCCGTACGAAGGCGTGTGGCGGACTGTTGGGAACACCCCGAAACAACCGCTTGCTGTAACGAGAGCGGTTTGCCGTTTATAACGAAAAGTGACGGGATGCGGGGTATGAAAGACACTTCTTTCGCCCCCTCCTCGGTTTCCTAGAGGAGATATCTGCATGCTGTACATGAGGGAAAAGAAGAAGAAAAGTTCAGATAAAAATAAAGCGACAAAAACAAGACGATATAGGCAACAAAATAAGAACAGGTCTAACCAGGAATCGAACCTGGACCCTGGGAATCAGAATCCCATGTCCTAACCATTAGACTATTAGACCGTTTAGAGTTGTTTAGCATCTCATTCGCTAATCATATAGAGCTATACGGACATGTGTGTCGAGAAGACGGAGTGAGAGTTGCGGGATTTCTTTGCCGGAAATGGACGAGATGGGTAATTACAGGATAATGGGCATCTTTATCCACGATGGAGATTTCACAGCTACCTAAGGTACAACGCACTTGCGACATGAGAGTAGGTACCCAACTTACTCAGCAGGACTCCCTGAAACGACTAATATCTCTTATCTTATCCCTTTTCCTCTCGCGCCTTGTGATTGGAAGTAAAACCTTCGACTAATCTTGGGGTCCCACTGCCCCAGTATCACATGAAAATGGTGTCTCAACAAGTCCCATTCCCCGACTCTGTCAAGGTACAGAGTATTCGTGGGACGTTCGTGATCCAGACGAGTACGACGACGCCTCAGTCACCCAATTGTCGTCCCCTCGCCGCCCATCAACTCCCTCAAAATGCCTACGTCCCCCGAAGTCGAGCACCTCGACGTGCTCGTCCTGGGCGCGGGTCTCTCCGGCATCAATGCCGCCTACCGCGTGCAACAGGAGCTCCCGGGCTTGAGCTACGCCGTCCTCGACCGCCGCGACGTCATCGGTGGCACCTGGTCCTTCTGGCGCTACCCCGGCTTCCGCTGCGACGCCAGCATGACCACCTTCGGCTTCTCCTGGCACCCCTGGACCCATAACCGGCTCATCATCGAGGGTCCCCCCATCGTCGACTACATCCAGGACGCCGTCCGCACCCAGGGGATTGACCGCCACATCCGCCTCCACCACCGCGTGCGCTCTGCCAACTGGGACTCGGCCGAGGCTCGTTGGGTGCTCGAGGTCGACGTCGGTCCCGAACCAAAGGAAGGCGGAGACGGCGACGGCAACGGAACCGACACACCCCAAACCGTCCGCAAGATATTCAAGGCCTCTTTCCTCTTCATGTGCACCGGATACTACTCCTACGAGCGCGCCCTCGAGGCCGACATCCCCGGCATCAAAGACTTCGCCGGCGTCGTCGCCCACCCGCAGTGGTGGCCCGAAGACCTCGACCACACCGGCAAGCGCGTCATCATCATCGGCTCCGGCGCCACCGCCATCACCCTCTTCCCCACCATGGCCCAGACCGCCTCCCACACCACCATGCTCCAACGGAGCCCTTCCTTCGTCTTCTCCCCCCCGACCGAGAGCCCCATGGACCAATTCCTCCGCCGCTTCCTGCCCCTCTGGCTGGTCCACTGGATCGCCTACGCGCGCGATCTCGTCCGCGAGACCCTCTTCGTCACCTGGCTCCTGGCCTTCCCCCGCGTGGGCCGCCGCTTCCTCACCGCCGAGGCCCGCAAGAAGCTTCCCCCGGGCTACCCCGTCGACGTCCACTTCAACCCGAAATACGACCCGTTCCGCCAGCGCCTCTGCATGTCCCCGGACGGCGACGTCTTCGCGGCCCTCCACAAGCCCAACGCCGAGATCGTCACGGACCACATCGACACCGTGCTCGCGGACGGCATCCGCACCCGCTCGGGCCGCTTCCTCCCCGCCGACATCATCGTCACCGCCACGGGCCTCTACGTCGAGCTCTTCGGCACCATCGCCCTCTCCGTCGACGGCGAACCCGTCCACCCGGGCGAGGTCTACTGCTGGCGCGGCTGCATGCTCGAGGGCGTCCCCAACGCGGTCGCCGTCATCGGCTACGTGGCCGGCACCTGGACCCCCGGCGCCGACGCCATGGCGCGCCTCACGATCAAGGTCATCAAGCGCGCCCGCGCCGTCGGCGCCGCGTACTTTGCGCCTGTGCTGTCGGCCGAGGAGAAGGCGAACGCGCCGCGCCACTCCGTCATCGATATGAACAGCGCGTACTTCGTTCGCGCGCACGGCCGGCTCCCGCTGGCTATGCGGAAGGGTCCGTGGTATGGGAGGGAGAATATCGTGACGGATCTCAAGGCGCTGTTCTTTGGCAGTTTGACCGACGGCATGAAGTATATAATGCCCGGCCCGAGGTCTAAGAGCGATTAACCAACCGTTTGGGCTTCGGTCATGGGGTCGATGTATGTAAACGTGTTGGAAACAAGGTCATGTCGTCGAACTGGCCAATGCCTCTTTGATGGAACATCTCTGTGATGTAGCATGTACACTAGATTTCTACCTAGGAATAGATCCACCC